ACTAATGCAGGATATCTGAGGCTGGGTGGTGGTGGTGGGAAACTGACTCACCCCTAGGAGCTTGTCGGCCTGGAGTAAAATCATTTGGGACTAAGGCTGGAACTTGAATTATCTGCAGGAGTTCAAACACAGTCCCGAGACCTGCAAATGGTGTTTCTATTTGGCCCTTTTAGTCCCAAGGCTGATAGCAGGGTGGTTAAAGAAGGAAGCAGTTTTATATGCCAGGCAGGGTCGTTAGAGCAAAGTCCCTGAGTTCCACCCTCTCCCTGTCTCCAGCGGCCCCTCCCTCAGTCCCTTCCCACCTAATTGGGGCTAGTTTAAGGCTTCCAGTCCCCGGCTGTCACTTCCCCTCTGGGGGCCTCCTGGGCTTCCCCTTGAAGCCAAATTATTATTACAAAAGTCAATTCAATCTGGGAATTTAAAGGCACTTTTAACATGTGTGAAGAGGCAATAAAGTGAAGGGTGAGGGGCGGGGATGAAAAGCTTTGAAGTCAGAGAAAGACAGACATAGGGTCCATTTCACCTATGGCAGCACAAGTTTCCTGCCTGTAAAGTAATGGTGGTAATAATGCTAATAACTAATAATAATAACAACTAATGATAATGATAATGCGATTAGATGTTAGAATGGAGGTAAACAGAACCCCGGACAGAGCCAGCAACTTGAGAAATGCTCAGTAAACGGCTGCTATAGCAGGTGCCAACCCTCTCTGTCCAAGGGAATGAGGAAGAGGAAACTGAGGCCCGAAGGCCCCCAGGCGGCTGATCGCACCAGCCAGCCCTTCCCGGGCGCTTACTGTATGCAGTGGGCAGCGGCCGGCCGGCTCAGGCTGTTCTCACCGCTGTCCCCTCCTCCCCCTCCCCCGTCCCCCGCCAGACCTCTCCCACGACCGGGGAGGAAGTGGGAGAAATGAACAGGGAAAAAAAAGTTGGTTGAGCCAACGCCTCCCCACTCCTCACCTCCGCCCCTCCGGAGCCACGCAGACCCTTTCGGGAGCGGCCCGCAAGACCCAGGCGTCCGGGTCCGGGTCCCTGTCCCGCCCAGCTGCCTGCAGTTGGGTGGGGGAACTCGGAAAGCCCGGAAAACAACCGCCCAGCCCGCCCCTCGCCAACCCCTTCCCCGCTACGCCTCTGGCGCAGCGGGCGGAGGCGACTCCTTTATATAATCGCGGGCGGGCAGGTTGGCTGTTTCATTTAGGGACCCAGGAGCTCAGCGCACCCGAGCCGTCACCCAAAAGCCCGCCCCCGGGTCCTTTCTGCGGTTGGGCAAACTGAGGCCCGGGGAGGGCGGGCGGCGGACCCAAGATTCCCACCCCGTCGCCCCCTCTACTACCCCCAGCTGCCGGGGCTGCCGCGACCCACGCCCGCGTCGGTCCTAGCAGTACGCACAGCCCTCCCCGCCCCCGCTGCCATCCTGCCACGCCCCAGGCATCGGGGGCAAAGCCCGCGGCCCCCCCCCCCGCACCCGCCCCTGCGCAGAGGCTGGGGGCCTGTTTATCTGGAGGCCCCCACCCCCTCCACCCCAGGGGGCCCGCTCCCCCCGCGTCCCGGGGAGCTCTGGGGCCAGATAAGCTGGCAAGCTGGCACCGCGCCGCGCAGCGGGGCGGAGAGGTCAGAGGAGGGGGGGCGCGCTGGGGGCGGGCTGGACCCCCCTCAACTTGACAAAACCTAATAACAGCTCGGTCTCCCCGGAGCAGCGGGCGAAGCCCCACGGGAGGGCAGAGACGTGGCAAGAGGGGACCTGCCGAGCCTGTTCTGGCCTCCAAGGCAGGGGGAGGCGGGCTGGGCGCGGGGGGTGGGGGGGGCCGGCGGCTGCGGCACCTTTAAGACAAGGGAGGACCCCTCTTGCCCTCGGAGAAACCAGGAAGGGAGTCGCGAGCATCATACGGGGCTTTAGCTGTACTGTACAGTTACTGTAGGGGCAGTGACGCCGCCGCCGCCGCCGGAGCGAGGGAGAGACGAGGGGAGAGCGAGCGAGGCTAAGATCGAAACGCGGACCCCGGAGGCGAGCGGCTGAGGAGCCCAGACCCAACTCCGGGCCCCGGCCCCACGCGCCCCGGCCCAGCCCGGCCTCGGCCCGGCCCCGCGAGGTAAGTCAGCGCCCGGCGCGGTCCCCAGTACAGGGTGCAGGGAGAGGACGAACCTGGGGCTCTGAGCCCACCCCTGCCCTCTTGGGAAGGGACGATCCAGGCAACCAGGGACGTTCCGCAAGTTTCAGAGGAGGGGGTGGTTTGCAGCTGCCGAGAGGCTGGAGGAGCCCTGGATCCCGAGCCCGGGGAGGGGGCGCCGCCCGGGAGGTGGAATTGGGGGCGAAGTGCATGGGCTTGTGCGCCAACTGTCTTTTCCCCCCACCCCCGGGGTGCATGGCTTTTCGGGGCTCCCAGGCGCGCAGAGAGCGGGGGAGGGGAAGCGGGGCTGCATTGAGGGTGGGGGGAGCCGGCGTGGGGAGAAGGGGGGCGCGTCGCGTGCTAAGTTTGCTGCTGGGTACTGGGGGCGCTCTCCCCCTTTCCCGGGGCCGATTCGGTGCTGTGTGTATACGTTGGAGTTGGCCAGGATTGAGCTCCATGGGATATGGGGGGAGGGGGCTGAAAAACAGGGAGGGGGGCTTTGCAAAGGAGGGGGAAGGGGTGGGGTGTCCGGGTGGGCGGGCGCGCCCGCGGGGTCCTCTGGGCCTCGTAGTCTTCCTGCCGCTTGCGGCAGGCAGGTGGTAGGCGGATCGTACTACAAGTCCCAGTGTGCGCCGCGCCGGCGGCCCGCCGCGGCACGAGGGTAGGGGCGGTGCGGAGGAGGGGCGGTGAGTGGCGGGCCGACGAGCCAATGGGCGCGGGCCGATCGCGCGGTGCGGCGCGGGGGCGGGCTCAGCAGACTCGGGGGCGGGGCCTGAAGCCAGGCTCCCCTCGCCGGGGGCCGGTGGCTGTCCCCGGCTTCCGGCTGCGCGGCCCGCGGGCCGGCCCCCTTCCCGCCCCGGGGCCCCTCCCTGCCTGGTTGTGTAACCGTCCCCAGCCCCCCTCTTCTCGGCCCCCTGCCCCGGTTGGGGGGGTGTCACCGACCCGGTGCTCCCCGGGGAGGGCAGCGGCCGGAGCGGCCGCGCCGCTCAGGCGAGCCCGGGGATGCGCGGCCTAGTGCAAGACGGGCCCGGGCGTGGGGAAGGCGGGCGGGCGGACCCAGATCCGGGGTAATTTGCATCGCCCTCCCCCCAGTCCGGGTGGGGATTGGCCGCCGGCGGCGGGGGGTGGCGCGGAGCCAGGCTTACTGCCGTCTCCCGGCCCCTCGGAGGAAGCCTACCCTGCTGCCGCCACCGCCGCCGCCAGGCCGGGCCCCCTCGCCGCTGACCCGGGAAGGAGGTAGGAGCCCCTCGGTCGGGCTGTGCGGCGGGGGCCCGTAGGCCGGGGCGGGGGCCGCGCGCTGCGGCCGGCGCGGGGGAGGGGGCCGCTTCCTGCCCCTGCCGGGGCCTGACTCATCCCTGGGTGGGGGGACCGGCCTGGCCCCTCGCCCTGCCCGCGCGGCCGCCCGGCCCCGGCCCCGGCTCTGGCCCCGGGAGAGGGGGCAGAGAGCACGCCTCTCCACCGCCCGCGCCCCCAAAGCGCGTGACCCTGTCTCCTCTGGCCCAGACCCCCCTCCTTTCCCTTGACGCCACCACCACGTGCGAACCCTGAGCCCGGGCAGAGGAGGGGTGACCTGGTGGGATCTGGCTCCCTCTCTCACTTTACCTCCCTCCTCAGCCTAGGAACCGGCCCCCTCCCCCAGCGCGGGGCCTGGGAACCAGGCAGGGGCCTGAGCCAAACACTGGGGCTGAGTGCCCCCCCCCCACCCCCCAACCTCCTCGGACTCAGGCCTTTGCGCGTTCTAGGAGGCACTGTCCTCGCTGACTGGGGAACCTGGTGGATCGCAGCAAGAGACTACTGTCCAACCAGGCCAGGGCACCCAGTAGGTGCCCACTAAATGTTTGGAGAATGCAGCCAGCAGTTGGCAGATGGGCAAGGGGGAGGCTGGCAACTCCTCTCTCGCCCTAGCCAGGTGGCGGAAGTAAGAGAGGTGTTGGTGCCCCTTTCCCCGGGCGGGCCCACCTGGCTCACCCATGGGTGACAGGCCTGGTTTGCTTCCCCTCTCCTGGCCAGCTGCCTCCAGGAGCAGAGTTGGCCTGAGAGGGAGAGGGCGTCTAGGATTCCATGTCCCCCCCACACACACACCCAACACGGCCAGGGCGTAACCCTGAGTGTGCCGCTCCCACACTGGGGGGGCCCTCCCCAGGACCAGCCAATCACTTCCTATTGGCAGAGCTGGTCTTGGGAGAGGTCTGGGGAGTTCAGGCTGGGCCCTGCTGCTCCAGGCCCTGGGCATTTTCCCCCAGGACCACCCCTGGTGGGGCCCCTAGAGCATGCCAGGCACTTATCAGCTGGGCTTGGGTCTCTGTTTACTGCCAGCCATCGCTGTGGAGACAAGAGCCTGGGGCAGAGGGGGGGGCAGGAGCCAGTGACTGGAGGAGCGAAGCCCTGGGATCCGCATGCCTAATGAAGAAAGAGGAGCCATCGGGGACACTGAAATTTTAATTCGTGGGTCACTTTGGGGGGGGTATATATTCAGTTCTGATTGGCTGCTGGGTGGCCAGTCAGCACCCTGGTGTGCTGAGAGCCACACAACTCTCAGCAGAAGCCCTCTGAGAAAGAAGCTGCTGGGGTGACTGCAGGGAGTTGATGTGTCCCTTTCTCTGTGTGGAAGACTGAGTCCCAGCAGAGCTGAGCCTTCGTCCAGTGGGGAAGGTTCCAGGGCAGTAGCAAGTCCTGTGTTTGTTTGTTTTTTTTACTTCCTTTCTTTTCCTTGGGGCCCCCTGACCCACAGCTGGGTCAGGCTGATGGCTGTCCCCTTCCGTATTTGAGAAAACCGAAGCTCAGAGGAGAGGCTAAATATGATCATGGGCTTAGAGCAAACCTCAGAGAGGGTTCCTTGTTGAACAGGGGAGACTGAGGCTGGGGTGGGGGGGTGGGAAAGCAGAGAGCAGCCCAAGGTCATGCAGCCAAAGCTGAGTCTGACCCCTGTGGTCTCCTTCCAGCTCGGGACTTGTCTAAAGTCCTCCCTGCATCCCAGCAGAGGGGCGCCTGCCCACCTGTCTTCTAGAGGGTCAGGAGGTTGACAGCAGGCACCTGTTGGCCAAATGGAGCCTCCCTGAGGTTTATTAAACCCTTTGCCCCCCAAAAAATAGTGAGGCTCAGAGAGGGCCTGAGGTGCCCAAGGTTACACAGCATGAGCCCAGTTCTCCTATCTTCCACCTTTCCTGGCAGGCACCTTTAAGACCTGCAGGGCCCTTATTGCCCCTTCCAAGTCACAGCACTGCACCTTGGTGCCTTGGCTACCGGAGATGGGCAGAGTTCTGGGTTTTATGATCCATTGTACCTGAGGAGGTCACCTCACAAGAGCCAGGACTCAGGGCCAGCCCTGGGAGGGGAGCTGCTGGGGTTTCCAGTGCCAGCGCACTTGCTCTGTGACCTTGGACATGCTCCTTGGCCTCTCGTAGCCTGAGTGTCCCCCTTTTAACATGGGGCTGTTGTAGGGTCCCCCCTAGGTGGTGCCTGTAGATCTATGTTTTCTTTTTCTCTCTCATGGGGGAAGCACCTAGGTCACCTCGGGGCACAGCAGGGATTCTGTTGGAGTGTGTGTCTCCTGGATGCCTGAGACACTCGGCACCCCCACCTGTCACCTTGTGTTCCAGGCACTTGGGAGACCATAAACCACCCTGCAACAGCCGTGGTCAGTGGAGACCAGAGGTACAGGCTTGGGTGGGGGCCAGTGTGATCCAATCCCAGCCTGGCACTGAGGTCCACTAAGGGAGGTCACTTCCCCTCTGCCACCTTCAGTTTTCCCATCAGTACAACGAGGAGGTTGCCTTCAGCCCAACAGTGTCATTGTGAGGATATACTCAGTGGTTCCTCAGGAATGTTTGTTGAGTGCTGTTCAGTGTCAGGGCCTAGGGGGAGCCCCTCCTGAATGCTTGTGCAGATGCCCCTTAGGGTCAGGGCCCCTTCCCTGAGTTCACAGATGTTGGCTAGACTCCAGCCCTACCCCAGGTGCCCTGTGTGACCCCTGGCAAGCCTCTCCCTTTTCTGGGCCATCAGAAGGCAGGTCAGAGGGGGTGTGAGAATAAACTCCCTCAGCTCAAGGCCCCCCAGGTCGGGGATTTAGTCATCTGCTGGTACCTAGGGGCAGTGTGTGAGGGGGGAGGGGGAAGGAGAAGACTAGTTAGGCAGGCTGGAGCCAGGTGTCCTGTGTTCAAATCCATCTCTGCTGTGTGCCTGGGCAAGTTGCTTTTCTCTCTCTCAGCCTCAGTTTCCTGACCTGTAAAGTGGGGCAGTGATCCTGCCTCCCAAAGCTGTAAGAATGGATGTTGAGATGATTGAGATCAGACTTCCCCTGTCCTTAGGGCCCAAGGCCGGAGCTTGGAGCACCAAAGTGCTGGTGCCACCTGGAGAATCTGGCACTTCTGAGGAGTGTGGCCAAAGGACCAGCCCCTCCATCTGTCCTCCCAGCAGGCTGTGGACGGCCACTTGGTAGAAGCGTCCCCACCCACACCTTTCTGGTTTAACTGGAAAATAAGGCCTGGTCTTACCTCCCATCAGGATGTGTTTGATGGGAGGGAACTGGCCAGATTTATGGGCACAGGACATGGGCCTCAACAGGCCGAGCACCCTTTTGGGGCTTCCATGCAGAGCCCTCCACCTGCTCAGGCTGGGGGTGGGAGTGGGGGTTGTGCCAGTGCTCCAGGTGACAAGCAGGCCTCAGGGAAGGGAGGGGGAGAGGTCTGGAGGCAGAGAGGAGCAGGCCTCTCATGGGCATCTTGGATAAGCAGGTAAAGCCTGAGCAAGGGCAGGGTAGACAGTGAGGGGGTTCTTTGAAGCCTAGCTTTGCCTACTTCAGTGAGGGAAGCTTGTTCCTTCTACTTCACCCTGAATGGTTGTCTTCCCTGGGCTTTCTCTTGGAACTCAGTGTTGGTGTCGGGGCTGTACTTCCTGGCCCATGACAGCACCCAAAGCGTGGGAACAGGGTGAGCATGAGCTCCACCCATGAGTTGGGGGTCAGATGGGATCCCCATGATCTCATCCTCCTACCCTACCCCCCCCCCCCACACACACACACACACACTTCCCACTGGGCCTGCAGCCTTCCTGCCTCTGGCCCTTTAAGGCTGGGTCAGGAAGCCCCTCCCCATTTAGGGCAATAAATGGACACATAAAATGGCCGAGGGCCTGTTTGCTGGTGTCTGGCCAGAGAGAGGCCTGTGAGAACAGAGGGGCAGGGAGTGGGCTGACAGTGGGCAGCTAGCAGTCACTCAGGGCCTTTGGTGACACCCCCCCCCCCCCAATCAGGACGCTGAATTCCTGTCCCATTAAACCCCTGGCCAGGGACTCGCCAGGCGGGGATTGGCACCAAGTCAGGGTAGGGTAACCCATCGGGACCAACCTTGCAACACAGGCTGTGTGCCAGAGAGGGGGCGGGGGCGGCCGGGTGTGGGCCTGGCAGCTGAACCTGGGCACCAGGCTTGCTGTGTGCCCTTGGACCAGCTGCCCACCCTCTCTGGGCCTGGTTTTGCTCCCCTGGCTTCTTCCTCAGTCACCACAACCCACTTCCTTGGCACAGAGTAGGTGGTGAGGTGGCTGGAATAATATTCAGAAATGAAGTTCAAAAAGCTCCTCGTTCGTGAGGGAGGAGGAAAACAGCCTTATTGAGGATGCAGTAGCACACAGTAGGTTTCCAGGCAACATTTGTGGAATGGATGAGAGGGACTCTGGACCTAGAGCACTTCCAGCCCCCTTGCCACTGTCAGGATCCCTGAGGAAACTGAGGCACAGAGGGGTGTTGCCTCTTGTCCAAGGTCACCTAGCTTGGAAGTGGAAGAGTTGGGGTTTGGATCTGGGCTGCCATGTCTGGCACACAGTAGGTGTTTAATGTCTCTTGAGTTTCTTTTTGTATTCTCTCTGGGTGGGGAAGTGCGAGGACCTTGACCCCCTCATGAAGCTGCCCCCAAACACTCCTCAAGGAAGGCCTTGGGTGGCAACTGCCTGCCCGCCCTGCTGCTGGCCACCCTCTTTTTTTTCTGAGGAGTGTGGGTGGGAGGAGGAGGCCCAGCCCCAACCCTCACCTTGTGCCTGACTTTGGAAAGCCTCCTGTTAACGCAGCCTTCTTCCCCAAGTCCCCTCTCCCAAGCACTCACCTCTAGGCCTTTGCCTCTGCTGTTCCCCATGCCCAGGACACCTTTCCTATGATCTTAGGGTCCTTCCTGGGTAACACCTGCTGCTCCTGGGACCAGGTCAAGGGATTCTTAACCTCACCTCATGTCCCAGCTGTTGAGTGGCAATGGTTCAGGCTAGCTCAGGTCAGAGAGTCTAAGTCCCCACCTGGCTGCTAGTCTTGTCATCTCTCCGAGCCTCTCCTCAGCCCAGGGCTTTACAGTGGAGAGGATGAGAAATGAAGGTGCTTGGTTAGTTTCTGAAAGTTCCCAGGTACAGAGGAGGGCTCCCAGGAGGGCTGATTCCCATGTTTATTTATTATATATACTTTGGTGCCCGCCCCTAGCAGAAACCAAACCTAGGACTCTGTTCCGTAGGCCGACACTCCAACGGCTGAGCCAAACCGGCCAGGTCCTGCTTTCTTGGAAAGAAGCTTCAGCAAGTGATCCTAGGTTAGATGGGAGGTGGGACCAGCACTGTCCCCTGGTCCTGGGTGTGTCAGCTAGCTGGTTGGGTGGGGCTGGGTGGAGCTCTTTCCAGCTTATAGTTGTCTTTGGTTCATCTGGTTGAATGCTGTGCTCCTACTAAGCGCCATCCAAGGGAGGAGAGCCCTAGAAATGGCCCAGAGGGAGGAGGGCACCCCACCTCCAACCCAGGAGTAGCCTACTGAGGCCTGCCCCTCAGCCCATGGAGTCAACACAGGCCCCAGAAATCCCAGGAGGACAGGCTACCTCGGGGGTGGGGATGTGGGGGTGGAGTTGTGATGAAAGACAGCCCAGGTGGGTGTCAGCCTGAGCTCTGGGGACCCTAACACTGACTGTCATGGGCATGGAACTTCCTGGAGAAGTTTTGTTGGATTGTCACTACCAAGGAAACCCCCATTTCTGGAGTATCTACTAGGTGTCAGGTGCCAACTGGCCTCTGAGATAAAAGGGAACCAGAAGCTTTCCTGTTGAGAAGATGCCAGGGTGCTCAGTGGGTATTTTTCTTCCAGGCCCCACCTGACCCACCAAGAGGGCTCAGCTGTCCTCCTTTTCCTATCTAACAGGCTCTTCCGCCTCTTAGAGGGAGAACCCTGAGAGGCCCAGATGGAGGCAGTGGCTCTGGGCATGGCAGGCAAGCGAGATGTGTTCCTGGAGAGGGTGTGGGTCAGGTGTCTGCAGAGCCAGTTTAGTTTCCAGGTTGAGGAAAGAGGTGATGGCTTGTTGGGTGGGTAAGGGGCCAACCTCTCACCTCTGTCAGCTCCTGGACCCCAGAACCTATGGATCACCCTTGCTGAGCACCCTTGGACAGGATTCCATAAGTCTGGGCCTTGGTTTTCTCATTTGTAAAATGGGGGGATCATGCTACTTTCATGGGGACTTTCCTTGGTTGGCACTTCCTCAGGCCCTGCCCTTTGAGGGGATGGTTTCTGATGATTATCCAGGGAAATAGAGGCTCCGTCTGGGAGAGGACAGGGACATGGACGCTCAGGCCCTTTGCACGTGGCCCACTTCACCCAGCCAGTTGAGACCAGTGCCCCAGGTCAGGTTTGAGGCCCAAGCTTTTGCCTTTCTAGCTGGGTGGCTTCTGGCAAAATGGGAGCCTGGGCTGAAATAGGACTGTGCCAGCCCCCTGGCCTAGTGCGCTCAGTGCTCGAGGGAGGCTGGGGGTGGAGTGGCTATGGGTGTGGGTGAGTCACCTGAACTATTTCAGGTCCTGACCTTGAGGCCCCTGGAGACACCTCAAGGTCCAAGGGGACCTTAGGGACATCTGGGGGACAATGCCAAGCAGGGGCAGGGTAGCCATCTTGGGGCATTGGTGGCCTGGATGAAGAGGAAGATAAAAGGAAGGGCTGAGGCCAGTCTGACCCCGCTTACTCCCTGGAGCCTGGGAGCCAGATGGCAGATGGTGGAAGGGGGCAAAAGCCGCCACAGGGGCTCCTCAGATGGGGTCAGCCTCCATCATCCTACTCCCAGCAGCCATATCTGAGCTGAACCCCCCTCTCCACCCCACCACCGAAGGCTGGTGGAACAGAGGGGACAAGCTGAGCAGCTGGTTCGGTCTGCGAGAAAGAGGGCGGGCCTTGGAGAGAGACATCCTGGGAAGTGTAGTGCCTGCCTGAGCACTACACAGAGGCCTCTGTGTCAGCCCTGAGGCCTGGACCCGACTCCCAGGGCAGCCCTGGGTCAGGACAATCCCATCCTTGCTTTATGCCATGCTGGACCAACCCTGGGTTCCCTTGCCTGGCCAGCTACCTGAATCCCACTCGTGGCACAGCAGGAGGGATCTAGGTTAGAGCTGAGCAGGGCTGGGCCACTTGGCTGGGAAGTTGTTGGTGGTCCCAGGGTCCTTAGGAGGCTGAGGAAGGCCCAGCTCAGCCCACTCCCTGCCATCTAGGGTCTCTGGCCCAAGAGCTGACTGGCTGGGCCTGGAGGAATGTGGGTTGTGTTGGGTGGCTTGGGACAGCCGGGGGCTCCCCAGAGAGGGTGGAGGGGTGGGGACAGGAGCCAGAGGGTTGCACAAGCACCCGAGTGGGTGGATGAGTCACAGCCCAGGGGAAGGCGGAAAAAAGGAGGGGTGGGGAGAGGAATGGGACAGACTAAGTTTTCTCAATGGCCTGGCTCTTCCAAAGGCTTCTGCCCATTTGACAGATGGGGAGATTGAGGCTCAGAAAGTGGCAGGGCCTTATCCTGACTGTACAGTGCAGATAGGGGGCTGAAAGCTGGAGAGGGCTGGTGAGGTAGAAGGCCCCAGCCCTGTACTCTTTCTTGTCAGGGTTGGCTGGGGTAGCAGGGAAAAAGCGTCAGGTGGTAGCCTGGTTTCCCCCATTACTCACTGCCAGGGCTGAATTGAGTCCTGGGGTCTCCACTGGGCCAGAAAGGGGTTTGTCCTTCAAAGTCACTGCCACACAACACCAGGACAGACCTATGGCCCCAATGACCCCAGCTAGGTTTTGGCCTTGCCCCTTCCTACTGACTCAGGGGCTCCCAGGAGAACTAGGCCTCACATGAGGCAGAGGGTGGGAGAGGCTGAGGGGCCTGGTGAAGATATTGGTTGGAGCACAGCTGTGCTGCCTCGGGCACATGTGATCCTCTCCCTGGGCCCTGTCTTGTCACTTCTGCGGTAGAGCGAGTGCTGCCCGAGGGTTCAGACATGACAGCGCACAGTAGGAGCCTTGTGCATCCTAGAGAGGGTATGGGTAGAAGCTTGTGCTCAGATTCAGTAGGAAACAACTTATATTGTGGCATTTATTGAGCTTCTGTATACTCCTATATCACTTCACATTACCCTTTGGTATGCATGCCCTTTAGTGGTGGGGCGGATGCCAGTCTTCATCTCTCAAGCACCCAGTGTGGCTTTTGCTAGCATAATCTCACATTCTGCAATCTAATGCAGAACAGACATGGACTGCCCTGGTGCACATCTGGGGAAACTGAGGCTGGGAGGGCAGGGTGGGGCACTACTCTTGGGGTCTCAAGGCTTGGTGGGTGCCCTCCCCCCCATACTCACTACCACCCCTTCCTCTCTGGTGCTGTAGGTCTCGGCGCGGAAGATGGCCGGCGGCGTGGACGGCCCCATTGGGATTCCGTTCCCCGACCACAGCAGTGACATTCTGAGTGGGCTTAACGAGCAGCGGACACAAGGCCTGCTGTGCGACGTAGTGATCCTGGTGGAAGGCCGTGAGTTTCCCACGCACCGCTCAGTGTTGGCGGCCTGCAGCCAGTACTTCAAGAAGCTGTTCACGTCGGGTGCTGTAGTAGACCAGCAGAACGTGTACGAGATTGACTTCGTCAGTGCTGAGGCGCTCACGGCTCTCATGGACTTTGCCTATACAGCCACGCTGACTGTTAGCACAGCCAACGTGGGTGACATCCTCAGTGCCGCCCGCTTGTTGGAGATCCCCGCTGTGAGCCATGTCTGCGCCGACCTCCTTGACAGGCAGATTCTGGCAGCCGATGCGGGTGCCGACGCCGGGCAGCTGGACCTGGTAGATCAAATTGATCAGCGAAACCTCCTCCGTGCCAAGGAGTACCTCGAGTTCTTCCAGAGTAACCCCATGAACAGCCTGCCCCCCGCAGCCGCTGCTGCAGCTGCTGCCGCTGCCAGCTTTCCATGGTCAGCCTTTGGTGCATCTGAAGATGACCTGGATGCCACCAAGGAGGCTGTGGCCGCTGCTGTGGCTGCCGTGGCCGCAGGCGACTGCAATGGCTTGGACTTCTATGGGCCTGGCCCCCCGGCTGAGCGGCCCCCAGCCGGGGATGGGGACGAGGGCGACAGCAACCCGGGTCTGTGGCCAGAGCGGGACGAGGACACCCCTGGTGGGGGCCTCTTTCCACCCCCAGTAGCCCCGCCAGCTGCTACCACGCAGAATGGCCACTATGGCCGGGGTGGGGAGGAGGAGGTGACCTCACTGTCAGAGGTAGCCCCAGAGCCAGGAGACTCTCCCGGTTTCCTGTCGGGAACAGCTGAGGGTGAGGACGGTGATGGGACTGATGCAGATGGGCTTGCGGCCAGTACGCTACTACAACAGATGATGTCGTCGGTGGGCCGTTCGGGGTCAGCACCAGCAGGGGACAGCGATGAGGAGTCTAGGGCAGATGACAAGGGCGTCGTGGACTACTACCTGAAGTACTTCAGCAGTGCCCATGACAGTGACGTCTACCCTGCTTGGTCGCAGAAGGTGGAGAAGAAGATCCGGGCCAAGGCCTTCCAGAAGTGCCCCATCTGCGAGAAGGTTATCCAGGGTGCTGGCAAGCTGCCTCGGCACATCCGGACCCACACTGGTGAGAAGCCCTATGAATGCAACATCTGCAAGGTCCGATTCACCAGGTGAGCCAGTGCCACTGTGACGGGGCGGAGGGTGGTGGGTGGCTTCCTGGGTCTTTTGCCCCTTCCCCTCCACATGCACACACAAACACTGCCTCTGTGGAAGAAGGCAGTACTGCCTTGTCCTGGAATGGTGCCTTTTCATTTCAAGGTGCTCACCCCCCCCCCCCCCCCCCCCGCCTTGTGTGCCCCTTCAGAGCAGTCTTTGGGTGGGGAGAGTGCAAGCACTAAACCATATGAGCACAAAAAAATATAAAATGTGCCAGGCAGTGCTGCAGGGTGCTGGAAGGAAGAGCACCAGGATTCGCTCTTCTTTTTTTCAGGTGTAGTTCTTCAGAATGGAGGAGAATTTTTGCCTTGAGAGAGGCAGTAGCCTGTTAGGGAGCAGGGAGCTCTGATTCCTTGAGTCACTTTAAGTCTCCTGTGAGCCTAGGAACTTGCTTCATTCAGCCAGCATTTTGGGGGCACCTGGTGCATGCCAGGCCCTGTTCTAGGCGCTGGGGATGCAGAAGTGGCAAGATGGGCCAAAATCCCCATGGATAGAGCATGTGTGAGACAAAACCAAAGAATTGATAACACTAGTTGTTGGGCGGGGTATGGCTGTGGGTGCTGCTTTAAACAGAGCAGAGACCTGAAGGAGGTGAGAGGGGACAGGCAGAGGGAACAGCCAGTGCAAAGGATCAAGACCAGTTCAGCTTGGAGGATCACTGAAGCCAGGAAGAGAAATTGGCATAGGAGCCACTGGGCTTGGTCCTTGGGCAGGATTTTGAGGCTGGGCTGGGGGAAATTTGTGATTTGGTCTTAAAAGTCCAGAGGTAGCTGGCTGGGCCTTGTGGGCCAGCCTAGTGGGGGTGGGGGGCTAATGTTCGGGGGCCTGGCCAGTCTAAGTGACTCAGCACCAGCCCCTATCCCCACCCACCCTGGGGTTCCCCCAGCCACACCCACCCAGACTGAAGAAAGAAGGCATTGTTCCAGCTTCCCAGCTCTGCCCCATGGGGATAGGACCTGAGGACTGACCTCTGGCCCCCTCCCCAGCAGGCCAGGAGAGGAGGGTGTGGCCTGGAGTCCAGGGCCCAGGAGTACCAGGCAGGGGGCAAAGGACATCACTGGGAAGGCAGGCAGTGTAGTTGGTGGCCTGGCCCATCTCTTTGATAAGATTGTGGTTCTTTTAGTTTTGGGGGCTCCATCCTCCTCCAGATGGGGGTATGGAGATGACTGTGGGCCTTGCCCTTAGGGGTCTCTGGGACCGCAAGGACCAGCTTGGTGAGGGCTCAGCAAGCCAGGGTCTGGAGAGGTGACCCGGCTAACCTGTGACCTCAACACAGGCCTCAGGCTATTGCATTCTGACCTGGAGTTCTTTTGGCCACCCTATTCCAAACCCAGAGCTGATCCCATTTGCCAGTCTGGGAAACTGAGGCACAGAAAGAGGCACCAGGCCAGGCCTCTTCTCTCCATGTGCCCACCTGGCTGCTCTCTGGCCCTGACCCAGGGCCCCAGCCCCCACCCCTTCCTCTAGGGCCAGGAGCCCAGAGGCCCCCTCTGAGTCACACTAGAGAGTTGAGTAAGCCAGGCCTGTGGCTGCTGGGGCTATAATTACCCGGGCCAGGGCTTGGGGTGATGAAACTGGAGCTGACTCCACCTCTACCCCAACTTAGCGCAGCCCCTGACCCGCTCTGCAACTCAGCTCAAGTCACTTCCCCTCTCTGAGCCTTAGCTGGGGATATTTCTGTGTAGTGCTAGCACAGTCGGTCCCTGCTGCCCCTCTGTGACCTGGCCCCGTGCAGTGGTCTGGGCAGGGCACCTGGGAGACTCGGCAGAGCCCAGGCAGGAGGCCTGTTATCTTCCTCCTTCTATGTATAAAAAAAGGGATTCAGAGAGGTTCAGCTTTTTGCCCAAGGCCACACAGCAAGCAAGGTCTAAGGCCCTTTTCAGACCTTGGAAGGCCTTTCTCTACCCCATTGTCTCATTTTGCTCGGGACTCACTAGCCACAGCCTGCCTTTCGGTCACAGTTTCAACCTCAAGGCCAGTGGGGCTGAGTGGAGGGGTCCTGGCCTAGCACCCGCTGACCCTCGCCCCATCCACAGGCAGGACAAGCTCAAGGTGCACATGAGGAAGCACACAGGTGAGAAGCCGTACCTGTGCCAGCAGTGCGGGGCGGCCTTTGCCCACAACTACGACCTGAAAAACCACATGCGCGTGCACACCGGCTTGCGGCCCTACCAGTGCGACAGCTGCTGCAAGACCTTCGTCCGCTCCGACCACCTGCACAGACACCTCAAGAAAGACGGCTGTAATGGCGTCCCCTCTCGCCGTGGCCGCAAGCCCCGTGTCCGGGGCGGGGGGCTCGGGGGACCCGACCCTGGCCCTGGGGCCACTGCGCCGCCCAGCGCCTCCGCCCCACCTGGCTCCCCTGAGGCCCGGCGCAATGGCCAGGAGAAGCACTTTAAGGACGAGGACGAGGACGAGGAGGAGGCCAGCCCTGATGGCCTGGGCAGGTTGAATGTAGCGGGTACTGGCGGAGGGGGTGGTGATGGGGCCACTGGGACCCCTGCTGACGGCAGCTTCGCAGCCGGACTCGCCTGAAAACCAAAAAGAGAAAACAGAAACCCGAGAGAGAGAGAAAAAATCACCCACCCCACCCCCAAAAACACAAAAAAAGAAAATCTATCTATATACAGATATCTATATCGATATATATATATATATACAGATATATATATATGAAGCATCACAGAATCTAGGATAGTGCTTTTCTCAGATTTTTCTCTTTCATGATGTTCTCTCCCTCCACGGGGACTCTTGCACCCCACCCCCAGCTCCCTCTCCCCTACCCCGTTGATGGGTTTTCGGGGCTTGGTTTGGGATTTGTGGGACACACGGGTTCTGAGCCCCCCCACTGGGTGCCCCCAGTGTGGGGACTGGGGTCCCATCGAGACCTGGGCAGGGTCCCAGGTCCGGGGCAGGGATGAGGGCTGCTGTGGGGGTGGTGAGTAAGACTGGGGTGAGCTTTAGTTTTTCTCCCCTTGCTGGTTTCTATGAGTCTTTGAGACAAGACCTTAAATGATTTCTGTCCACTGTGAGTGGACGTTAAAATGGTCCCTGTCCCCACCCCCACCTTCCTTCCTCAGGGCACTTCTTAAGTGGGGGTCTTGCCCCTCGATCTCCCCTATGGCCTCCTCGCCTATCCTTGTCTGTGGTCCCCTGTATCTCCTGGCCACTGCGATACAAATTATTTATTTCCAGGTATGGAGAAAGGGGGGAAGACAGAGGAAAAGGGGGCACCAGGGTGGCTCCCAGGGGCTCCTGCTGCCTTCCTTTACGGCACTTACAACCTTGTGGGGCACCCGGGGGCCTCCTCTCAGAGTGCCCCCACCACCCCTGTCTGTGTCCCCTGACCCAGGTCACCTAGACCCCCATCTCAAGTTTGGAAATTCAAAACTTGTCTTCACCCTCTCCCCACCTGTCCCCCTAGCCCTCTCCCAAATTTTTAAAGCACTTTTTAGATTGTTTTTCCCTCTTTTCCTCCTTAAAAACAAAATTTATATATAGAGATATATATATATATATAAAATATACTTTTCCTCAGAGGAGCAGGCAACAGTGTGGGGTGAGACAGCCAAGGGCAGAGGGAACCCAGGGTCTTATGGTGGCAGGGAAGAGGGGAGAGAAGAGTCCAGAAGTTCCAATGTCACAAAAGCAATAAAAAAGATTTTACAAAATGAAAGGAGAAAAAAAAAAAAAGACAACCAACCACAAATAGAAGTCTTGGCACTTTGTAACAGAACGGGTACTATACTTTATCTTAATTTAAAAACATGTTTACAAGTTGCAACCAACTTCTATGAAAAGTTGAAAAGACAAAAAAATAAAAATAAGAGCGAGAGAGCGAGCGAGAGAGCGAGAGAGAGCAAAAAGAAATTCCTTATAGCTGATTTATTTTTGTACAAAATAATAAAAGAAAAAACCCACCACCAGATGTAGAATCCACTTCTGTTCCCCGAGTTGAGAAAGGGGTCAGGAAGGCCATGGGCGAGGGCAAGGTCTTCTGAGTTAGCCTGTGCTTTACCATGGGGGTTTGCCTGTCGGGCAGGACTGGGGTTTTTGTGTTTCTGCCATGTTCCCCCCATTCTGTCCCTTTTTTAGTTTTGATTTAGAGATGTCTCATTACCCACTAGCCATACAATGGCCACCCATGTCCATGGGGACCCTCCTTACTGACTCCCTAGCTCAGGGATGGGCCCAAGAGAGGGCTGGCCTTTCAACCAGCCAGAGCAATCCAGTTCCCCCTAACCTGTCCCTCTTCCTTGCCCACTTCTTGGCTTTCTGCCTTTCCAACATGTCCACCTTTCTTTGTGGCCACTGAGGAGCTGCCATCTTGGATATGCCATCCCCATTAAGGTGGGTGACAGGGGACCCACCTCCAGGGCCTTACACCCCCCCAAAAGCACCCCTCTTTTTACTCAAAGGCACTGACTGTCATCTGGGGGCTGGCACCTGCACCCCCCCCAGCCTCTGGCTCCCCAAAGGCCCGGTGTTGACCGAGCCACAGGCCACGGACAGGGGCCAGGGCAGGGGAAACCATGTTGCCCGAGGCCAGGGCACCTTCACCCCCTCTTGCATATGCAACGCCTAGTGTGGGACCCTGTATAAAGACACATCCTGCTGAGCTGAGATCCTTCCCCATAAAGCCTGAGGTATATGGGGGTGCCTCTGCTCCCCCTCTAGTCGCTGGCCTGTCTCCTGGTACCCCTTTGCTCTGTGACAAACCCCGTCTTGTCTTTTTCATTTTCTTTTGTTAAAGGGAAGCTTTTTAAGAAGGCAACTTTTATCATTTCTACAGGATAGTTTTCGCCTCCTCCCAGCCCACCAGCCCCCCAAATGTCTCAGGAACCCCCCTCCTGAGGGGGGTGGCAGGGGAGCCCAGGGCCAGGTGGCATTGTTCACACCCCAATATCACAGGGCGAGCTCTTTCCGAGAACCATCTGTGGAGGCCAAGCAGAGAGCTCGAGCACCCAGGCCAGGGCCTCCCCATCTCAGCTTCCAGAGAGGTTCCCTGAGGGGATAGCCCTCTCCCCCTACCCACACACCTCCTTGCAATAAAACCAACTGAAAAATTACAGCTGTCGTCCTGGCCAGTGGGGGTGACTGGACTTGGGGAATCGAGGCCTCTGGGACTATGGTGGGGGCTGAACCCTGCCGAGCACATTTTAACACAAAGCTCCTTGGGAATTGCACTAAACCCCTACCCTTAGCTCTGCGCCCAGCTTTCACCAGCCCTGCCCACCCACTCCGCCTTAACCCTTCTTCTGCTGCCCGCCAATCTGTCCCCAGGGCCACAGCATCTGCATGGGCCCAGAGCCGGGACCCCCACCTACCCCCGCCCGCCCAGCCCCCTAACTCCGCGCAATCACATACTGTATATAGATGTGGATCGATTTTATTTTTATTCTTTAAATTAAGGTTGTGATAAAGTGTTGCCAAAGATACTGCTGAATTCTCGCGTTTCAGGAAACAAATATTTGAGGGAGAACGTGCTGACTGGTCAGAAAGGACAGCAAAAAGTGTTTTTGTTTGGTTGTTTGGTTTTTTTTTTTTTTTTCTTTTTTGGGGTGTTTTTTTAACTGCCTGGTACAAAAAAAAAAAGACAAAGTGAAATTGTTATTTCCATCATCTTGGTGAAATTGCGTGGATGTGTGTGTGCGCATGTGTGCGAGAGTGAGGTCTAGGCTGGGGACTTCAGATGCAGGCTCGGGGGGGGTGCTCTGGGGTAGGGGTAGTGGGACTGGCTGGATGGGGGGCCCTGAGCCCCACCTGGATCGGTCTCCAGCCTGCTAGACTGGGAGAGAGAGATAAATATCCTTGCTGCTGCTCCCTGCCTAGTCCCCCACCCTGACCCCGATCCTGCCTTTTGAGATTAAAAGAAAAAAAAGGCAAAAAAAAAAAAATTATAAAAACCAGTGAATGTAAAGTGCCGGACCAGGCCCAGCCTGGCATGGGTGTGGGCCTGTGCCCAGCTGGGCTCCAGCGGGCCATACCAAAGTCTGCCCCCTCAGGCGGCCCGCCCAGGAGACCCCATGCGGCCATCTCTTGTCACCCTGTTTATACAGGGCTGTCCCTCTGCTTCCTTCTGAGGGGGGTTCTCAGGTGGGAAGGGAGGGGCCCCCAGCCCCCTCCAGGGTCTTCTGGGGAGTCTGCACTACTGAGACCCATCAGCTGTGTTGCACATGGTGGGACTGAGGCAGGGGCCAGGGCCCCCCAGAACCGAGGCCATCCAGGCAGCCAGGATTGTAGGAGGCGAGACAGAGACCGAAAGGAAAAAAAAAAAATTAAAAACCAACAAAAAAAAGCAAAAATCCTATTTTTTGAGAAAGAAAGATATTTATATTTGCAGTTTTATTTTAAAAAGTTATTTAAGCTGAGGAAGCAGCCTTCCTGGAATAGTGGTGTTGGCTGGTGCAGGACGGGTCAGGGCCTGGGGTCTTGGGTGCCCAGGAGTCATAACCTCAGAGTTAAGACTAGCTCGCACTAAATATATAAATTTACATGGGGGTGGGGTGGGTGCAGGACCAGGAGATGAGGGGGCTGGGGAGACCCCCATCCCACGGCCAGGGCTGCCTGGAGGCCACGGCCAGGGGTCCTGATGCCAGGTAACCCCCAACCCCACCCAGGCCCAGACACGAGGTGCCTTGGACTTTGGGGGACCAGGCCTGGTGAATTGGGGGTTGGGGGCGGCGCCCCTGGGGGCACAGAGCACAGACATTCCATAGACTGTATTTGAGAGTCTTTATAAAATGTGGGAGATTTAAAAAAAATGATAAAAATGCACTTTTGGGGGGTGGGGGGAGAAAGCTTTAAAAGTAATAAAAACAAAAACAAAAAGACAAAAGATGATGAAAAAACCGGACATAAAAATCATTTTTCTTGTACATAAAAAAACCACTAAACGCAGCCTGTTACGATCGCTGCTGCCTCATTTGCCTGATTTTGATGTTCCTTTGTGTTTTGTTGGGGGGAGCCTGGGGAGTGGGGATGGAGGGTTTAGGATCCCCTTCCCTGTGGGTTGGGCCCCTTGTTTACAGCACTTGGGGGCTCCCAGCTTGGGTTCCAGAGGGAAGACCCCATGCTCAGCCTCACCCTTCCTGCCAGGCCTGGGAGGTGAAATGGGAAAGAGGGGCCTGGACACAGTGACTCTGGGCTCCAGGGTGGATGGGTGTCCTGGCAGTGCTAGGGCCTGAGCCCCTACAGAGGAGGTGACACCCTCAGGCAAGGGCAGGTGGCTCCAGGAAGGGGCCCAAGGGATGGTGGGGGCGGGCAGGAAGAACCTGCCGAGCGGGCTCCTTGGTCACCACAACTACAAGGTTTCTGGAGGCCCTGGGTGGGGTGGCTTTTATGGGGAACCCCAAATCTGCCAAAGGCCTCCAAGGTGCAGCCCCTCATTGGGCCCCAGTGAACTGATGGAGCTGAGCTGGCTGCTCCCTCCATATCCCCAGGGAGGAAGTAGGGCTGGAGCCCACTCACTAGGGAGGAAAATCTGTGGGCTGTAGCCCAATTTCTGGGTTGAGGTCAGCCCTGGGGAGAGCCTTTCACCCTCTGGTCTCCCATTTGGACTCAGGCTAGCAGGGCCAGGAGTTGGGGTGGGAGACAGAGTGACACCAAGGGGACACAGCCGTGGTCATGGCCTGGGAGAGGACTCTGAAGTGGATCTTCATAGCAGCCACAGGGACTCTGTGGGGCCTGGCCTGGCCTGGCCTGGCCCTGGCCCTTGGTGGCAAATACCACCAGGTGGAGGGCTTGGGGGGCTCTGGGTGCCCTCCTTCAGTGGCAAGGTCTGCAATCATGTGATCACATGGTGAACACAGTAACTCAGATCTCCAACTTGGATTGGGGGAGGGGGGCGCCAGTGGTTCCACAGCCAGACACCAAGAGGACCTGAACCAGCCAAATGGAGACTGGAAGCCTCGGTGAGAACAGCGATGGGGGCAGGTTCAGCAGCCACAGTCCATGCGGCCTCTTCACTCACACTCCTCCATTCACATAGTTTACCCTGGCAAAACCGGTGGTGGTAGCACATTGGAAGAGTTTTGCGACCATCACCATCTAGTTTCAGAACATTCCATCACCCCAAAAAGAAGCTCCGTCTCCATCAGCAGTCACTCCCCTCCCCCAGTCCCTGACACTCACTAACCCACTTCCTGTCTCTGTGGATTAGTCTGTTCACATTTCACATTAAGTGGAATCACCCGGTGTAGCCTTTTGTATCTGGCTTCTCTCGCTGAACATGACGATTTTTCAAGGTTCATCCACATTGTAGCAAGTGTCAGTGCTTCACGCCTTCTTATGGCTGAATATCCCAGTGCATAGATGGGCCACATTTCATTCGTTCTTCAGTTGCTGGAAATGGGCTTATTCCCACCTTTGGCTATTGTAACGCTGCTAGGAAGGTTCATGTACAACTTTTCACAAGAAGACAGGTTTTCGCTTCCCTTGGAGGAGATACCTATAGTGGAATTGTTGGGTCAGATGCTAAGTCCATGTTTAACTTTTTTGGAACTGCCAGACTGATACCACAGTGGCTATATCTTATGTTCCCACCTGTGGAGGAGGGTTCCTCCCCATCATCACCACTTGTCATTCACTGTCTTTCAGATTCTAGCCCTCCTAGTGGTTGTGATTTGCATTTCCCTGGTGACAGGATGTTGAGCATCTTTTCAGGAGCTGAGTGTGTTGCCAGGTACACACTGGACCAGGCAGTTCAAAGTGACATCTTCCTCATTTGACTAAATGTGGCGCCTTTTGAATCCTGGACATCATGTAGCAAAAGAACTGCGGATGGGGAGGTGTTTTGGTCCTTTGGTTCCCTCACCCCCAGCTGACACCTCAGATGCACAGAAAAGCAAATGCCTCGGTGGCTTCACCTTGATCTTTTTATTTGCGTTTTTAAAAAACAATTAAATTAGAATACAAATATTAGAAAACAGCGGCCCTCAGCTGCCAGTGCAGATGGAGGGTTCCATACTGCACAACTGAGTTTATACAGTAAAACTGAATTTGCCCTCAACCAGATTTATGTCCCTTTCGTCTTTAGACCTGAAATGATATTGCTTCCTGACTAGTAGAATTCTGTTTATACAAAGGAAAATTATTCTGGGGCTGGAGAGGAAAGGGCAAGAAAGAAAAAAGCAAAACAGAAGGGCAGGCAAGGTGGTCTGGGGAAGCGTGGCCTCTGAGGGGGCAAAGATGCTGGGTGGTGGGCCAAGCACCCAGCTGCAGGTCCCTGGAGGCATCTGGGGTGGCTATGGAAGCCCCATGGTTGCTGGACCCCCCCCAAGGTCAATTGGGCTGCTAAAGGGTGGCCTCCAGCCCAGTCCTGTTGGAAGACGAGTATGAGGCTCCAGGGGGAGGGGATGCAGGGCAGGCCTCGTACCCGTCGGAAAACCCAAGAGCAAGAGGGGAAGGAACCACCCCAAATCAAGAGGACAGGGCAGGAGTCAATGCTGCCCCTTGGAGGTGGCCACCTTCCCAGTGGTGGCACCTGTGGACATCTGCGCTGTTCCGTAGGGAAGTTAACCTGAATTGGAGTTACCGAGGTAGCTGGCTAAAAAACTGAGACCCCCCACGCCACACGGTGCCACACCCTGAAGCCCCCACCTCAAAGGGGGTCCTGGCCACATGCTGGGTCTTCAAAATACCAAGTTATTGCACTTTCAAAAAATACAACACATCTGTGGCTAAACCCTCCCTAGCCCACCCCTCACCCACCCCACCCCCGCCTCCACCCACCCCCTCCCTGCCCCAACCCACTCCATGGCTTCTTGGCTAAAACGCTCACTGCTCAGAGGCCCACTCCAGGGTCTCTGGGCAAGAGGACAGTTCGCAGAGAAGAAAAGCAAAGGAACAGATGAACGTCCAAGTTGTGGCTGCCACCAGGGAGCCCCTCAGTCCTCCCTGCTGCCCCCATCAGCCCCAGGTCCCTCTGTACCAGCTGGAATGGTCATCAGAAGAGGCTGGGGCATCTGGGAGGGTGCAGTGTCCTGCCCACCCCTCTTCTGGGTTTTGACTCCGGCTGGGGAAGCAGTTGTGTGGGTGGCTTGCCTTGTTTTTACGAGTTTGTTTTTGTTTCATTTTTCTTTTTTTGTACTTTTTTTTTTATAATTTTACTTTTTTTAATCCTCCAATAGGAGAGTCCAGAGGTACAGGTGCCAGGATCCAGGGACAGGGGTGGAAAACCATATGAACAACAATAAAAAGAAAAAAAAAATCACTCCTCCCTCTGCACCCCAAAGCCCGCCTGCGCCCCTCACGTGGTGAGCACCAGAAAAATTGAATGTCCAGCCGGTTGGTGGTGACGAGCAGTCAGCAGGCCGACACCAGGCCCTTCTGGAAGGGGCAGCGGCGCTTGGCCCGGGGGCCATCCTCCTCCTCATCTTCCTCATCTTCCTCCTCCTCCTCCTCCTCTGAAGATGAGGAGCTGTCCAGCGTGAGGTCCACCACGTCAGCTCCTGGCTTCCCATTCTCAATGCTGCCCACCGTGCCGCCCCCGCCTCCAGAGCCCCCAAGCATGCTGCCACTGCTACCGTTGACGTTGGGGCTGGACAGGAGCCCATTGGCGTCTGAGGTGCCTGAGGGGACAGGGACAGATGCTCAGGACAACTGTTGACCCGCAGGATGAGGAAATGAGGTGGCAAGGGCAGGGGTGATCCGGGGATGCCATTCCTGCCTCCTGTAGAGGCCTCCTGACATTGGGAGCACCCTGCATAGGACCTGGCGCACAGCTGGTGCTCAGTAACTGTGTGCTGCCTCACTCTGTGGGGATCAACTCCACCAGGGTGGCTGTGTTTTATTTTTTCCTTTCCTTTTCATTTAAAAATTTTTATTTATTTATTCATTTTAGAGAGAGAAAGGAAGAGAGAGACAGAAACACTGATTTGTTGTTTTACTTATTTATGCTTTCACTGGTTCATTCTTTTTTGGAGTATTGGGACGACACTCTAACAACTGAGCTACCCGGCCAGGGCTCTTTTCAATTTTTGCCCCCTTTTTGGTTTTATTTTTTCTTTATATTTTTTCATGTGGCATGACTACATTTTAGATGAAAATGTCAGAGCAGGTCACAAGCCAAACTCAGAAATCGCCAAACTCCTAAAATAGGGATTGGGGCAATCAATGGGGCAGTTGGGGGCCTGGGGCCGGGAACTCACCTAGCACGAGGATGGGGCACTGGGGGCTGCAGCTGCGCTCCTTCTCGGCGCGGATTGGGCACCAGGAGCCATCTACCAGGTATTCAATCTCATCGGCATCCTCGCACTCACTCAGGATCTTGGAGAGGAGCCTGGGCAGGAAGAGGGGGCAAAAGGGGGCTGATTCCTAGGCTGGCTGAGCCGCACCCTGCTCCCCTGGACTCTGGTGGGATGCTTGCTAAGCCACCTTCTTCTTTGCAAAAGTAGCTTCAGGAAAGCACCAGCCAGGGCCTGGTGATCTGAGGGGGCCACCCAGTCTCTCCCTGCATGGTGCCTGCACAGCTGGGCCCTCCTGGAGGGTCTGCCAAATTGCTTTGAGGGCCTGCAGTCGCCCATTCATGGCACGGTGACGACCCTCCCTCCAACTCCTTAAAAGCATGGGGCAGAGGGGTGTTAGGGTTAGGAGGGTCCTGCCACCCAGCCCACTAACTGAGTGGCCCCCACCCTGGCATCCCTATTCTGTGCTACCCCCGTTTTTACAGATAAGGAAAACAGGCTTGGAGGGCAGGTACATGCTGCTCAAAACCCCTTGGAGAGGCTGTGGGGTAGAGCAGGGAGCTGAGTGGGGCCTCCTCACTCCTGTATAGACAACAGTGTCTTCCAGAGCATGCCCGTGGCAAGCCAGGCCCAGTAAGGTGTGCTCCGGCCCTGAGTACTGGCTGCTAAGGTACTGCCAGCCAGGCCCGTTTTACAGATGGAGGTACTAAAGCCTGGGGAGGAGAAGTGAGATCCCTGAGGTCATAAGACCAGGTGGCAGAAGGCCTGGGTTCCAGTGCTGTTCCTGCTCCCTGACAATTCCTGGCCACAGGCTTCAGTCCCCACCCTGGCAGGATGAGGTGGTCATAGCACCCACCATCTCCAGCAGCTAGGGGGACCTAAGGAACAGCCAATGCCCAGGCCAGGCCTGGTGTAGAGAACACAGATGCTGCAGTGGCAATGGGTCATTATGGCTCCCAGCATTTGTTTAATGTCAAAGATGTACCTGCCTCTAAGTGAATTTGACCACCTAGGTCACAATCACACAGGAGGAGGCTGTCCTGCTCCAGGACACCGTCTGTGGCTAATGGGCCCTTCCCACCCCTAGCCTGAGGCCTTCCCTCCACCGCCACACTCACAGAACTACCACCCCCGGGTCATCCTTGTGTGAACACAAATCTGCCTACAATGAACTTCTCTACCTGGAAAAATCCTACTCACCCTCCAAACCTCCCCTCTATAGCTCCTCTTCCTCCTTTAGGAAGAGCAACAATATCTGGGTCTGGCTCAGCACCGCACCCCCATGCTCGGATGGGAGTTCCCTGAAGATAGGGTCTAGGACAGAGTCTTTTTTGGGGACACCTGAATCACCTAGCTCAGGGCCAGGGAGGAACAGATGGCAGAGCCTCAAAAAAAATACATGAGCCAAAAGCCTTTCCTCCAGCAAGTTTCCCAGGCTACAACAAGCCCCATGGGCTTGCTGAGATAGTGGTCTGTGTGGGGCAGAGCCACTACCCCAGCCCTGCCAGAGCTGCCACCACCCGAGCCTGAGTGACCCATTCTAGGCCTGTTGGGGGAGGGAAGGCGGGTGCTGGGCTGCACAGCTGCCAGGCTGCAAACAGAGCTGCCATTCAGGCCCAGACCTCATGCCCAGCCCCAGGGGCCTCCTCATTCCACCCTGAGGCTGGACAGCACAGGGGGCTGTGGCTTGCCCCTCCGGGGAGGGGACCCAGGCTCAGAGTTGACCAAACCTGCGTTTGAGTCCTGGCCTGGCTACCTTTGAGCTGGAGGGTCCCCAGTCTCCCCATCTGTGAAGTGGGGATAATCAAGGCCCACCTCCCAGGACAGTTGGGAGGGAAGGCTTGGCAAGACCCTGAGCATGGTGACCAGAAATGAGTGCTTGCATGAAGGCACAAATGTGCACCCAGCCCCGTAGGTCATTCCCATCCCTGTTGTCTGCACACACTCCAAGCTTCAAGTCTCAGCTTTCAAGGGCTGGTGGGATCAGAGTCTGGTGTCAGCACACCAGCTTCTGTCTAGGCTGCCGCCTTTCCCTGACTCTGCCCGACTCCGGAGACGGGTGGGTGTGGCCAGCACCTGGCAGGAACTGCTCAGTCAGGTGCTGGGCTAGGTTTCTGGAAACTTAAGACCTAAGCAAAGTTTCCCTTTTGGGGAGAATGGCCTTTTGCCCCTGGTCCCCAAGAGGTGTGGGGAGGGCCTGCTCTTTAGGCTGAGGGACAGCCTGGCCACAGGCCAGTGCCATCTAGGAAGGGAGCAAGGGGTACATGACCAGAATTTTGGGAAGATGTGTGTCCTTTCCACCTTTCTATGGACGGTGTGACTAAGGCTGTACTGGACGAACTTCAGGAAGCAACTTCCTGAACTGTGTGCATCAGCCTGGAGGTGAGGGGTTCTCAGGTCCCCGTGTTCTGTGGGAAAAAACAACCTCAAAGAATATAAGGTTATCCAGGGAATAGTGGACCTCCTGGGTCCAGAGCCCTACTTCTGAATTCTTAAGCTACAGTGCTGCCGTCCACATAGCAAAAGCCCTTATAAGTCCTGCCTCTCTTTGTAAACTAGGACTTCCAAAGCTGCCAAAGGGCCCAGAGGCCCACAAGAGGTGAGGTACAGCCCAGCAGGCAGTACAGCCCCCCTGTGCCTCAGCAACTCACCCGTCTATGATGAGCTGGTCATAGGGGGCTGGCTTGTCGCACACTGGGCACATCCAGGTAGGCTTCTTCTCGTTCATCTGGAGGTAGAAGACCGCGTCGAAGCACTGCAGATGGGCGCAGGTCTCTGCCCGGCAGGGCACGGATAGCCGCATCTTTACCAGCTGGGGGAACGGAAGGGGGTGTGAGCAGGCCACCAGGCAACTCCAACATAATGTACAGGTAAGGGAGAGGGACCACTACATCGACTCACTGGACAGATGAGGGAGACCCGGACACCGGTGGTGGCGATCTCACTGTCGGGGTCCAGGCGAAGCTTCTCTTTGACTGTGGAGGAGGGGGTGGCCAGTGTTAGTAGAGAAGGGGCAGTGGCGCCTGCAGTGACAGGCCAGAAGGCAAGTTGGGCAGCAGCCACAGTTATTCCTGACAACAACCTGGGTGCACCCATGAGGCAGACCAACCCACCATCAAGCCAACTCTGCTGGGGCTTTTCTGGAAAGATCCAAGTAACACACAGCTACCAACAGAGCTGCCCACTGTGCCTCTGTTAATTCCAATGAAAACCATCCCAGAAGCACTGGTGGGGAGGCAGGGGCCCTGCTTTGAGAAAGCGCCCACTAGGGAGCACCAAAGCCTCAGTCTACGAGTGCCCACCATGGGTCCTGCAAGGGTGGGAGCAAACCCACCAGCACAGCTTCCCTTTCACAATCAAATGTTACTTCTCTAATAAAGCAAAAGATCGTAGCGCCACCACAAAGTCACATACAACATGGAAACTTGCTCACAATAGCACCCAGAGCCCCCTTCCCAAATGTGTGCTGGAAAAAAGAGTGGAAGGGCCCTGGCCAGTTTGGCTCAGCGGTTGGAGCATTGGCCTGTGGACCAGAGAGTCCTGGGTTCGGTTCCCGCTAGGGGCACATACAAAAAAAAAAAAGAATGGAAGGAAATGAACCCAGTGCAGCCCTGGGATCGGCCTGCAGCAGGTGCTCAGTCTTCCTTCTTCCCTCTTTCTGCAAGTTCTGCTTTCAAAGCCAGGAGACTGGTGGGCAAACCTCAGAGGTGTGTGTGGTTAAACTCCATCCCCCAGTGGGTTAGGGCAAAGTGACCGTGGGTCCTGCAGAGTGCAGGCCATCCTGCTTGGAGCCAGATCTGCCCCCGCAACCATGACTCCTTAGTCCCCTCCTCTAGGAAGCCTCCTCACCCCTCCCACACTGGGTTGGGGTTGAGGGTGAGCATGCAAGCTTGCCCTCACCCTAGCCAATCACACATCAGTATGAATTTCCACCACACAGTTCCCCTCTCTGGCTAAAAAGTACTAATAGTGGACTCAGAGGCCTTAGCTCATCAAAAAGACCCTGAATGACTAAGAATGGACCCACTGTGCACCGATTTTATTATTATCTTTATTCTTTTTTTTTTTTTTTTATCCTCACTCGAGGACATTTTTCCATTTTTTGTACAGACAGAGTGGGAGGGAGAGAGAGGAAGAGAGAGAGAGGAAAACATCGATGTGAAAGGGACACATCGAGTGGCTGCCACCCGCACGACCAACCAGGGCCGGGGACAAACTGCAACCGAGGTACATGCCCTTAGCGGGAACCGAACCCGGGTCTCTCCGGACCGCAGGCGGACATTCCAACCGCTGAGCCAAACCGGCCAGGGCTTATTATCCTTATTCTTAATTTACTTTTGTTAATTCTCATCTGAGGATATTTTTCTATTTTTTCTTTTAACATAGAATGGGAGGGAGGGAGGGAGAGGGGGAGAGAGAAACATCAATGTGAGAGAGACACATCAATTGGTTGCCTGCATGACCCTGACCAAAGCCGGGATCGAACCTGCAACCCATGCATGTGCCCTTGCCTGAAAATCGAACCTACAGCCCTGATGTCTGCAGGATGACACTCAGACTGATGAACCAGACTGGTCAGGGCATACTTCTTATTTTTCTTTATTTTAGTTTTTTCTCGTCACCATTTATCCCCTCCTTTTTATTGATTTTAGAGAGAGGAAGGGGGAGGGAGGGTGGGGGAGGAAAAGGGCTGGGAAAAAAGAGGGTGGGGTAGGGAGGAGGAGAGAGGGAGGGAGGGAGGAGAAGAGAGAGAGAGAAAGGGAGGGAGGGAGGGAGGGGCGGAGAGAGGGAGGGAGAGAAAGTGAGAGATCGATTTGTTCCACTTATTTAAGCATTCATTGGTTGTTTTTTATATGTGCCCTGACTGGATGGAGATCAAACCTGCAACCTTGGCATATTGGGACAACACTCTTAACTAATTGAGCTACCCAGCCAGGGCTGCACTGGGTTTTGAAGCAAGGCTTGGCTCTTCCCCTGACAGAGAGAAGGCGTGGGCATCAGTAAGGTTTCAAGTGAGACAAAAACAAGACTTCCCAGTTGTGACTAGAAGTTTCATTGGTGATGTCTCCCAGCTTAGGGCAGGCTGTGGAAAAGCCAGGGGCTTCCTTCAGCAAGAAAACATGATAACCCATCCTAGCAGGGGCCTGGGTTGTCACATACACCCCTCCAGCTCACAATGCTGCAAGGCCCGACTCTTCAGAGAGTCAAGCCAGGCTTCCCTGTGCCCAACGCCATCCTGTGGGCTACTGGTACCTGGATGAGCCCTGTCCCTGGCCAACAGGCAGTCTGGTCAAATTGGTCATTGTCTCCACAGGGAGACTGACAGGTGGAACTGGGAGTTGAAGAAAGGACCCTTTGAGGAAAGGGGGAGGAGGTGGCGTACACAGACTAAGGCTCTTGGGTCATAGGTCCCCAACTCTGCCACTCTGCACCTCAGTGACTCCACTGCTCAGATGGTGTCAGAAATCATCCCAGAGACCAGAAAGGGCCAGTGATCTGACTACACAAACTGTGGGCTGGGCAGCCCTTGGTGCAGAGACACAAGAAGAGACAGAACCAGTTCTGGGTTTTATCTGCCAGGGTTTTTTTGTTTTGTTTTGGTACGTGCCCCTAGTGGAAACCGAACCCGGGACTCTCTGGTCCACAAGCTGACGTTCCAACCGCTGAGCCAAGCCGGCCAGGGCTGTCTGCCAGTTTTGATGGAATTTTTTTTTTTCAAATGTTCTATGCCCTCCCAACCCCCGCACACACACACATTTTTTAATTGTTAAAAGTACAATGAAATAAAATAAAACCCCACCCCATCACTTGAGGTCTTCCTCTCCTCGAAGTCCCTGCAAGGCTCCAAACAAACCCCACATGCTCAGCCCACCCTAATCTCCTGGCTCACTCGAGTCTGTGAACACACCTCACTTGTCCTTGCCTCTGGCCTCTGCATCGACAGCCCAGCATTCTCCAGAGACCTCCCATGCTCCCTGACCCCCAGGGTGATGAATGAACCCTGGAAGATCTAAGTTCCCCATTGGGGCACCCTTCACCCCCACCCCAGACAACAAGCTCCTCATGTCCAGCAAAGGGAGGGTAAGCAGTGATAAAGCCAAAACCACCCTCAGTCATCAAGAGGAAGGCACCGCTGTGCTCACCCAGTGCCTTGCACAGCTCCGGATGCTTGACCCCGATGGTTTTCAACCTCTGTAGCAGCTCTGAGGAGGTCAGTTGCCGCACCAAATATAAGGCCACCGAGTAACTCTGGGGGTAGAGGGGAATGGGGTGTCAGGGCTGGGTGGGGCTGGGCAGGATGAGCAGAAGCAGATCGATGGGGCAAGTGGGCAGCACCCACCCCACTCACCTTGCCATAGTTCCCCCAGGTGACGGTGATGCGGTTGGTGGCCGAGGACAGGTACATGAGGTGAGTAAGGTTGATGGGGCGGCAGGGCCTTTTGGGTTCCACTCCGGGCTTATTTGAGGGGTAGTAGCCCTGGGAGAAGACAGAGACTCAGCCACTGCAGAAGGTCTGTGCCCCTGCCCCTCCCTCCATGCTTGCCACCTACAACAGATCTGGGGCTGCCCGGGTTCCCTGCTCACCGGGACTGAGCAGTAGCTGTGGTTGACCTTCACAGCAATGTTGGGCGGGTACTGGTCCTCCTGAGGGCTGCTGGTGTCTGAGTAACAGATTCTGCAATGACAATGGGTACCATGGGGCTGAGGGCAGGGGAAGGGCCCCTGGGAGAGGCGGGAATGACAGACGGGGCCGAGTCTGGCCCGATGGGTAGATCACAATGCTGGGCTACACACGGGGATGTCAGGGCCTCGTGTCTGGCCTGAGTGGGGATGAATGGTGCTGTGTCCACAGCTAAGGACAGCCAGCAGAAAGAAGGGAGAAACAGGCTCCACCTCTAGCTGGGAGCCTCAGAGGTGCTGGAGGGGGGAGGGGCTGGCTTTAATGCACTTGGGGTGGGACACGGCAGGGCTATAGCCACCCAAGGCAGAAATAGCCAAAGGTTCCCTCAGGGGCGGCACACCTGGGCTTACCTTAGGACGACCTGCACGGCCTTGACCCCAGGCTGCAGTTCTCTGTGCCCCAAGGAAACCACGGGGAAGGAGAGGAAAGGAGGGGTCAGTGAGGTGGGAATGCACCTAGCACACCATGCCAACCCTTCAGTCGGGTGACCACTGGCCTCTCCTGGGCTAGCCAGGGAGCCTAACCCACTACCTCCCTTGGCAACTGAAGGCTGATAGGTGCCACCTAGAATGTTTTCTCCTGCCATTTACTCACTGATGACTTGGGGCAATGACTTCTCCTCTCTGGACAATGGGGGGATCTAGTGTGGATATTAAGTAGGTTTGTGGGTACGGGCCTGGCATGTGCTTAGTGCCCTGAAAAGCATCTGCTTCAGTGGTGATTGCTGTCTCAGCTGGAGATGTCTCAGAGAGCAGGGTTAGAGACCTGGGGACAGCTCAGTCCTTACCTGGGTGACTCTCCCCAAGGGACAATGCCTATGTTTGTGGTCATGACTGGGGGTGCTCTTGGCACCAAGGGGATGGGGGCCTGGGATACTGCTCACACCTCACAGTGCCCAGCATGGCTCCCCAAAGAATGACCTGGCCCTGATGTCAGCAATGCTGAGGGGGACAGATCCTGCTAAAGGGGGACACTGGCCCACCTCTCAGGGCTGCTGACTGTGCACATGGACCATGAATGGAGTGGGGATGAGGACACAGGTTCTGCACCAGATCTGGCTGATGGCTCTCCTAGGCCACCTGAGACCACATCCACCCACCATCTAACCATGGAGGTCAGCAGAGGGTGGGGCCCAGAGCACCTGGAGTTCCTGATCAGCTCCACCTGTCTGGGCGTCAACGCGAAGATGCATGGACTCTCTTGAAGCTTCTCGTTATTCTGTGGAACTAAAGATAAACACAGGATCAGGGTCATGTCTGGTCCCAGGTGAGGGTGCCAACCATGGTTGTGGTCATTTCTACTGCCTGGCCCTCTTCAGGCTGATAAGCAAAAAATGGGAAGCTGAGTCCTGCCAGAAAGGGATGAGGATGAGGGAGAACCTGCTCCTTCTTGGGGCCCAACCTCAGTCTATGGTTCAGGGAACACTTGCCACTCACTCCCCCTTCAAGCCCCCACTCCAATGAGGGCCACTCTCAAAGCAGTGGCCTTCTCAACCCTGTGGGGTTCAGGTCTTTATTCACGAAAACTGAGAATTGCTCCGATAGGGGAGAAGAGCTGTGCTGGGCCAGAAGGAAGCAGCACAGACAGGCCAAGTGCCCTTGGGCCAGCCTGCCTTTTCAGGTCTGTAAGACACCAGCAACAACTCTGTCCCCACCTCGAATGGCTGCTCTGGCATATCCGGTGAGTGTGTGCCATCAGTGCAGACACACTCACACATATAGCATGACAAACGCTCATAGTTATATATTATTCAGAATGGTTTCAATCAGCAGAAGACTGTTAACTACCTAAATGCTGGCCAACACGGTCTGGTTAAGACATGCTCCAGATCTCATATAAAGGAATACTATGCAACTGAAAACAGTAACAAAGAATCAAGATGCTCTTTGTGTTCTGATAGGGAGTAACTTCCAAAGTGTTTTGGTTCAGTGAAAGCAGCAGGTGCACAGCCATGTGTTTATCACACTGTTACTTGTGCAACCAAACAGAGGAAGGGGTGTCTGTGCAAGTGCACATTAGCTTATCTGTGCAAGAGATGTCTCTAGGGGAGGGGGTGTGAGAACTGGCCACAATCACAGCCTCAGAGGATTGGGAGAGGTAAGAAGGAGCTTTTTAAATTCATACTGCAATCCTTTAGAACAGGAGTGGGCAGACTGTTCTATAAAGAGATGGAGTATAAATATTTTTGGCTTTTTTGAGCCACAAGGTTTCTGCCTTGATGTCCTCACTCTGCCTTATACCATGGAAGCTGCCAGAGATGGTAAGCGTACAAATGGGCGTAGCCGTGCACCAATAGAACTGATTTAGAGAAACAGGCAGCCAGTGGGGTTGGCCCCTACCCTAATTGGCCAACCCTTACCCTAGAACCTTCTGTATTCCAAATCAAAACAAGTAACCTATTTAAGCAAATGTGATTCAAACTTAAAACCAGATCCAGCTTAGAAGCCAGGCTGCCTGGGTTTGTACCCCAGATCTGTGAGGGGCCAAGCACCCCATCCCAGTCCAAGCCTAGGTGCCCTCCATGCATAGGACCCACTTCTCAGGGTGCACAGCCAAGTCTGTAGCTGGTGCTCAGTAAGAGGTGGCTGCTGCAATTGCCACACTGCTGACAATTTATGCTTGTTTGTTGAGGGCCCTACTGGTCCCTTTAGAGTCCTGGCTGGGGCCCTGAGGAGGGCCACCTAATTGGTTACAGGGATGCTGGCAGGCTACCTGCAGACACCTCAGACTTGCCCAAAGAGCCCAGGAGCAATTATTTATGAGGGGAGGAGGGCCTCACAATATCTGCACTGCCAAGACTGGGTGGGAAGGTCAAAGATACCATCCCACCTCCCCAGGGAGAAAGGGAAAGAGACCCCAGCAGTCTTGTTGGGGTGGCTGGCGCGAGGTGAGCTGCTACCTCAGTTGGAACAAGGCACACCCCACACTATTGGGAAGGGGCTGGGCATTTCCCAAACAGGCCTTCAACAGCTCCGCCTTCAGCTGTTCAAGGCTGGGATGTGGGCAGCATCCATGACTCTTGTCACACCCCCTCCTCCATCAACTCTTTAGCCAGTCCTGTTGGTACCCAGTGCTCTCCCTCTCCCACCACCACTGCCTGTTCGGATCAGTACAAATACCACTTGTTGGTCTCCAGGCTCCCAGGGCTCACTGGCTGCTGCACATGGCCTCAGGGCGATGTTCTGCCCAGCCCTGCAGCCTTGATTCCACAGCAGCTACCTTGGCCTCCTCCTTATGCTCCCTCCCTGCCAAATGCATCACACCTTGGGGTTCTGCAGGTGCCACCCTCTCTTACAGATCTTTCCTCCCTCAATAATCTCCACCTCCCTGGTGTCTTTTAAATTTACGCAAATGCATGCAACAGGTGTGGCTCTGTGGACTGAGAGTTGACCCATGGACTGAGAGGTCCCAGTTCGATTCCTGGTCAGGGCACATGCCTGAGTTTCAAGCTTGATCCCTAGTGAGGGACATGCAGGAGGCCACTGATCGATGTGTCTCATTCACATCAATATTTCTCTCTCCCCCTTGCTCTCTTATAAAAAAAATCAATAAAAACATTTTAAATTTATGCAAATGCCATGGGGAAGAAAGCCTTCACCAAGCACCTTTATTTAAAAACTGCACACCCCCACCTTCACAATTGTGGCACTTCCTACATCCCTCCCTACTCCATTTTTCTCCAAAATCTTTACCTCCTAAAAATCAATACAACGTTCATGTGTCTTTGGGTCATTGTGGATACCAACTGAACCAAAAAATACTAAGTCATCACCCACAATGCTGCAAGCTCGATAACCATGGATGCACAACCCTCCCAGCCCCCAGCAACCACCAGCCTCTGCACCCCCTAGGGACTAAAGGGAGGGAGCCCCTGCTCTGAGTCTTCTAGGGAGTGGGAATTCTGGGAACCAGCCCTTGGGCTAGATCCAACACTGAACAATCAAGAGGGCCCGCATACCCATCTCCACCCCAGGCTGCCAGGCAGCCTCACAAAATGCACCAGCAAAGAATATTTAAGGACCGGCGCAGATGCTCACAATATACTGGGAGGGCGGAGGGGGGTGACAAAACAATCAGGGTACAGCCACATCCCAAGATTGCACCATGCAGAAAAGAAGGCAACAAGCCCACACAGCCAGCAGGGATGCTCCAGGGGGCATAGACACAGCTGGTTTCCCTGCCACTACCCCATGTTTTCTATGATGAACACATAATTTTACGAAAGTTTAAATGAAAAGATTTGAAGAAGTCGATTAATGGGACTGGTCTTTCATTTTACTGGCCTGTAGCCTGTCTGCTGGCAGCCTAGAACCTGGGATGCCATATGACTGTCTAGGTTCCCACATCACGGAATGGGGATGAGCATCACACTTGGCTATGGGACAGCAGACAGGCCACTGCATCTCAGGGATTATACCTGCCTCAGAAAGGACTCAAGATAACAAGACCTGGAAAAGCTTATGGGAACTTCAGCAACTCCAAAGTCTTCAGAAAGTCCTCATGCTTCCTCTTGGTCCACGCATCTCAACTTTTTTGGCCCCCATTTTCTCTCCCACCTCCTGTGCCACACCATAGTCTGGTCACAATGGCCTCCATTCACAAGCTTTCTCTTACCACTGGGCCTGTGACTAAAACACACTCTTCTGCTCCCTCCTTTGTCCAGTTTATTGCTACTCACCCCTCAGGTCTGGACAAGAATGCCACCTCCTCCAAGAAGCCTTCCTGACTGCCACCTCCCCACAAATGTACAGTAAGGGGCTCCTGGTACTGACAGCCTCCTAAAAACCCTGCATACCCCATATCAGAGTACTTCTAACTCAGTATTGTTTAATCACCTTTAGTACAGCTTCCTGGCAAAATGTGCCAAGGTAGGGAGCCTACTATCTTCTTGTTGTTTAGGCAATACCAGTCAAAGGGCTCAAGCTAGATGAAGGACATCTGTGTGCCCTGAATGATGAGGCGGTGTCACACCAGCAGCTCTCAACTACCTGGGTGCTGACCACCTGGGGGGGGGCTGTGGAGAACAAGGTGGGTGTCTATAGTTATCAGGACACAGGGAGGCAGCGGGGGCAGGCTGAATGGCCCTACACTGTGAGGTGCTGGCCACAGGATGCTGGGGAACCTCTCAGAGCAGCACTGCACCAGGTGGTGTTTCCTTCCTTCCGCCTGAAAGTCTCATGATGGCCTCCTTCCCCCCATCCAACCCTGACAGTAAGGTCTGGGCCTTCCCAGTCAGACTCTGGTTCTAGCTACCAAGTAGCTGGGCTGGGAGACCCTCAGGCCATAAGATACCCGGTGAGTCTCAAGCTGAAGCAGCCTGATCCAGGACCATGTTCCTGGCCCCTCTGAATTCTGCTGCCATCTGGAAGCAAGTGCCCCTGCCCCAGGAGTACCTGGCCAATGGCCTCTCCCAGCTGGGAAGGGGGACAGATGGGCTCCTTGTGCAGAGAGGAAGCCTGGGGTCCAGAATCTTTGCGTGGTTCAGAACAGGTGCTTCCCTGCAGGGGTGTAGGCACTGATGGTGGAGGGAAGGGTGAGAATCAGGAAGCTGGCTGAGTATACAGCCCCAGAGCCCCTTCCTAGCAATAGTGTGTGACCTTGGGCCAGTCTCCTGACCTTTTTGGCACCAGCCTCTGCCCCCACCGGAGGAGATCAACTGCCCCCGCCAGAGATCGTAAGGTCCTTCCAGCTCTGAGTCTGTGGCTCTATTCTTCCCTCTCCTCACCCACCCTGAACATTTTACTCCATGTGATTTCTGTCTACTGTCCTAGTACAGGTTCCATCTAGAAGTTATCCAGCGGCTCTTCTGGGGGGAACAGACATATGTGTGGGACTTGCTGTGGTTGGCAGGTCATGGCAAAGGGCAAAGGGAAGCTGGCTGAGCCACAGCCTCCTAACTGGCTCTTGGGCAAGGCCAGTGCAGCAGCAGAATTCACATGGGGAGGCACTAAAAGTGTAAGGTGGATGGACAACTGCTTGTCTGATAACAGAGAGGACCAGACTGCTTCAGGGGCAGGGCCTGTGCTTGATGAGGCCTCTCCTTAGGAATGTGAGCAACCTCCAAGGGTACCTGAGAAAATGGGACTTCCAGAGAAGCGGTACACCCTTGGACAGGGACAGGCGAGTAGGTGGGGGCAGGGGCGGGGTCGGCCTCTTTGTTCTGAGCTACCAGCAGAGTAATTCCTGGTGTAGTCAGGGGAGCAGACTCTCCCGGAGATCAGGTGACCAGGGTCCCCAGGGGCTCAGGGTAAAGCAATGCATTGTGGGGTGGGAGCGACTGCAGGCTTGCAGAACAGGAAGGAAACCCATGGTCCAGGCAGGGGATGAGAGGCCGCCAGCCACTCTGAGTTCAAAGTCACCTCCAGCCCCATTCCCTGCCCAGCGCCAAGCCTGCCTTGCAGCTAGCTTCCCAATGAAAACCCAGCCTTCCCATTAAGAAGATCATTCTGGAATCTGAAACATCAGCTCAACCTTCAAGATCAGCTGGTCAGCCAGTTCTGAGGACCCTAAAACCTCCCAGAGAACCCAGTGGTATGGTGAGTTCTAGCATATAGAGAGGTTGGGGTAGCAGAGACAGGGGAAGTTGCCCTGGAGGAACTCAGGAAGGGGCCTTAGGTCTCCAGCACTGCCACATCAACCAGGTGACAGATGCTGCTGGGCCAACCTGCTCTCCACCTAGGAGCCAGCAAGAAACACTTCCTATGTCAGAGAGAAAGCAGTGGAGGGCCTGAGACTCCAAGGCTGGAACCACACCAGCAACTCCTTCCTCCACCTCCCATAGCCTCACCTCGAACCACAGCCCCTTTGGCCCAACTTCACAAGGCCCAAGATCTGTAAATAAGTGAGAGGCAGCTTTACCCCCTCCCCTCTTCCCACACCTAAGGCAGGACAGAGGGGGCCAGCTGGCACAGGACTGAAGCAGAAGTTTGCATGCAAAGAGGGGCCCCTTGGCTGAGCAAGGGAAGATGCTGGGTCAGCAGGATATGAGGGAGACCAAGCAGCCAAGGGCACGACGGGCGAAGGTGTGAGGGGACCATGACCTCTGCCACAGTACCAGGGACCAACTCAGGACCAGGGCCTTCGACTGGCATGCAGCAGGGGCCGAGTAAAGATGTAGAGGTTGAATGGGAAATGTAGATGGGTGCAGGGGGTGGCAGGACCCATAGCAATGGCACAGGCTGGAGCACCCTGAGAAGGGAACCTTCACAGGGCAGGGGGGGCTTTGTCTGCTTGGGGGTGTGGGGGGGGTGTGTGTGTGGGCTCCCACCCAGTTGGTGTTCAAATATACAGTGTCAGTGAGTGAATGAATGAACAAATGTGTGTGTGTGTGGGCAGGGGTTGTAAGAGACAATGGGAGGGTTTTAAGGAACAATCTGAGTATTAATAAGAGGCCCAGGGCATTCCACTTAGAGCCCTGGATGTCCAGGAAGCTAGTCTGCCTTCCCCAGCCTGAACTCAGACAGCATCTGAGGCAGACACCTTGATTTTGACCTTATTAAGGACCCAATCAGAACTATTCAGCTAGGCTGTTCCAGAGTTATGACCCTTGGAAATTGGGACCCTCAATTGTTTTAAGCTGCTGGTACTTGGGAAAATCTTTTATGTGGTATTAGGTTACTATTCAAATACCCAAATGTGGCCCCTATGGTTCCTAGAAGGGACAAGACCTCTGCTGCCACTTGGCCCTTGCTGCTTCTCAGAAAATACTCCAGGTTGGTCATGTGGCTGGCCATAGGCACCAGAAGAATTTGGAAAGCAGGACCCCCAGAGGATATGGTGGACTCACCCAGTTCGGTGGGCTTCAGCAATTCATCTAGCATGTTAAAGAAGGGCAGTTTCACCAGGCGCACTTCTGGCTTGAGGGTCTTGGCAGGCAACCGTCCGAGTCCATTTAAGTACTTCCCATAGAGCACAGGATAGTCAATGTTGGGGCCTGTGAGTGGAGTCCTGGGCACTGTGCTGGCCCGGTCATAGGTCGAGTGCATTGTCAGGGGGTCCAGGGGCCGATGGGGCTGGGAGATGGGCTCTGAGCTCTTCTTGGCGTAGCGTGTCTCGTAGAGCTCCTTGATCTTTTTGAACAGCTCAGGGCTACAGTCAAACTGGACCAATTGGAGGGCCCTGGTGACAAGTTCGTGTTTAAGTCCGCTCTTACTCCGGCCGACAAATCCCAGGAGCATCTGAAGATCGGAGACTCGGAAACTCATCACCATGTTCTGGGAAGAGCAACCACAGACACACGTGGTCAGAGGGAGAGACTGCCAGGGTCAGGGGCCACCAATGGGGAGTGAAGCTTCCCTGGAGCCACCTGGGCCGAGTGGGGGAATAACAAAATGAGGCCCTTGTCAGCCACCACCTGATTCCCCCTCTCCTTCCTGCCCCCTTCATTCTAGCTGGTGGAGGCGGGAGCCCAGAGGAGGCTTTGGCACCAATCCCATCTGGCCTGGGCTTGGTCCTACTTCCACTGCAGTTCACCTTTCACATGATGCCCCCTCCTAGATCAGCCCTGCTGTCCTCCTCCTCCTCTTCCAACCTTCCATAGCACTGCCAACATGGCAAAAGCTCCTCTGACTGCCCCCCACCTTCTATTTTAGGTTCTCTTTTCACATCTTCAGACCTAAAAACATCCCCAGGACAGGAACTGGGAATTCTGCTTTACCCTTAAACAGCCTCAGCCACTCCCTAACAGAGAACACAGATGGCCCTTCTGACCCTCAGTCTCTTTGTTGGGGAGGATGATAGGATCCACTTCATCAGGATGTGGGAAGGACCTGATGAGGTAACTCATGTAAAGCAGAATGAGTGCACAACCAATGTCAGCCAGACATGTTTTCCCTTTGGTCTAGGATGGTAGCCACAACTTAATACTAATCACCTGCCAGAATCTGAGCTGGACATGGCATATATACTTAATTGTGATTTTTAAAACAGCCCTGCCAGGTTGGTGTAAGCTCTACATTATAGCCAATGTTCAAACCCAGGACCGGCTCCGATACCAGGGGTTATTCCTCTCTACTAACTATACCGTCCCAAGCATGGACCTACAGCTAACCACTTTATTTTTTAATTTAATTTAATTTTTGTCAATCCTCACCCAAGGATATATTTCCATTGGTTTTTAGACAGAGTGGAAGGGAGGGAGGGGAAGAGGGGGAGAAAGAAAGAGAGAGAGAGAGAGAGGGTGAGAGGGAGAGAGAAACATCGATGTAAGAGAGACACATCGATTGGTCGTCTCTAGCACAACCACAACTGGGCCAGGGATCGAACCTGCAACCCAGGTACATGACCTAGAATAAAACCCAGGACCCTTTGGCCCGAAGCTCTAACTGCTGAGCCAAACCAGCCACGGCCACAGCTGAGTACTTTAGCTGATTATTCAAGCAGTCTTTCTTCACCTGGGCAATGTGAATATGGGAGCTGGATTGTTCTCTGTGGGAGCTGTCCCGGGTATTGTGGGGTATTAAGCAGCATCCCTGGCCTCCACCCACTTGATGCCAGTAGTACCTCCAAATCCCAGTCGTGACAATCACAAACGTCCCCCAGACATCTCCCAGTGTCCTTTAGGCGGGCAGGATCAGCCCAGATTAAGTACCATGAGTCTGAGAAGAAGGCTCTGGGAATCCAGCAGCTGGAGGCTGTTAATTGAGCTGTAGCAAAGTAAAAAATGAGGTCTGGCAGGGTCCCTCCAACTAAATCAAACCAAACACAAGAGCTCAGTTGATCCCAATGTTTTCTTTGGGGTTGCCTGGAGGTAGCATTCCCTCTGTGAGACACCAAGGGAAGTGAGGCTTCCCCAATGTGTTTCATAAGCAAAGTGTCCCAAGGAATGGGCCAGCAGGGTTCCAAATCACCCACACTGAGGCCTGAAGCTGGCCTGTGATGAATAAAATGTGGTGAGGAAAAAACACTTATAGGGGAAATGGAAAAAAAAAAAACAGTACAAGTGACAAGAGTGGATATGGAAAGCTGGCGAGCATGGGGCAGGACAGCACCCAAAGACTCCAATAAACAGCTTAAATTCAACGTGAGAAAGTGTTACTGTTGGAGGTGGGTGGGAACTCTGCCAAGGTTTTCTTTTCTTTTTCTTTTTTAATTTTTAGAGAGAGAAACATTGATGACAGAGAACACTGACTGGCAGCCTCCTGCATGCCCCACACTGGGGATTGAGCCCACAACCTTGGCATGTGCCCTGACCAAGAATCGAACCAGCGACCTCTTTGTGCATGGGTCAATGCTCAATCACTGAGCCACACCAGCCGGGCCTGGCAGAGTTTATGTAGCAGCCTCAATGCCAAGAGGCTTTGGTGTTTCCTGTTTCCTGGCTATTTAAGGGTGAGGCATGGAGTCTGACTTGGGAGCCCTGGGTTCAAATCCAAATTCTACACTAGGTTCCCATACAACCCTGGGTCTGCTGTCAGGCCTCTCTGGGCTTTGGGCACCTCTTCTGTCAGCACAAGTTGGGAACACTTTGAGATTCCTTCTAGCGGTACACCACCGAGCTCTTGTTGATGGCAGAGGAGGCTGTCTGGTCCTGCCTGCAAAACCTCAAGGGGGAGCCTTTTTCTGCTGCAGGGTCTTTCTCCTACTTCTGCGCTACAGATGTGGAATGTCTACCACGTGCAAAGTACTACAAGGGCCTTTCTCAGTCACTTATTTACAAGGAAATGCAAACATTATGCAGGTGAGAAAACTGAGGGTCCCAGAGGGAAGCACTGGCCCCAGGCTTCCCTGTGTGGCAATGACAGGGCTGGTACTTGGACCTTCCGCTCACACCCAGCTGCCTGGGCCACTGGGGAGACCCTCACTCCCCCGCACACCCCCTATTCAGGGACCTAAGCAGTCTGCTGGCCCTCAGAGAGTCCGAAATGCTTTGAAACAAAGAGGCTTCACCTCCCTCAGAGGCTTCCTACCTTGAACAGAGAAAAAAGGCTCACAGACAAGATGTTTCTTACAGAAGAGGCCCAAGGCCTACGAGGAGAAAAGCGCTGTCATGTGGAAGCTAATGGCCTGCTATGGAGCCATAGGCAGGTGGGCTCAGCGTTCCTGATGCCATCCTGTCCCTGGGAGACACCTCCCACCCCCGCTACCCCAAGACATAGCCCCTTCCACTGGGTTAGACATCTGGAGCTGCTGCACCAGCATACTGGGACACACCCCTCAAGCTGCCACTGATTTCTCAGCAGCTGCCACCATGAAGAAGCCCACCCTTAATACCGGGATGGGGGAGGAGTGGGGGGAGGGTTGTGAGAGGGGCACAAGCATTCAGGAAGAAGCCCCAAGACCTTCGCAGATCACTTCCTGCTGAGGCTTCATCCTGACCCACCTGCCCCTCAGATCTGTGTTTATAAACAGCACCAGATCCCATGGGCTTCCAGACTCGTAACTAGCTGTTTGGAGAAACATCAGCCTAGATAGAGAAGCTGAGCTTAGCTAAACTCTCCTCCAGCAGAAGCATAGGAGGCACTTTAAGGACCCTCTCTCCAGGAAATCAAAGATGGGTACAAAAATACTATAAGATATCTCAGGAAGTTCACAGACCCACCCCTCCTCCCCAATCCCTCTCAGGGGCCTTGGGTTAAGTCTCAGATTTCCAAGTTTATCAATAGATTCCCTCATTTTCCCCTTGGACAAGCCCACTTTGTACCCCAAAAGACAAAATTTCCAGCTCTTAATATGAGAGGTTAGGAAAGCGCCTAAAAAGAGGGACATTTCAATTACATGGAAGGCACTCCACACTGATGGCAAGAGACTAAAGGCGAAAGCTCCCCAGGATAGAGCAAATGGTGTTGCAGTCTCAAACCCCCCTGAACCGAGGCTAGTGTTTGAGAGAGCTTGAAAAAAGGGTCCACTTAATTTAACTGGGTTGAGGGGGCAGCCACTGGAGGGTCAAGTAGAGTTCATCAGATCATATTTCAAGGCCCTAGATGGTATAAAAAAAGACTTCAGAACCTACCCTCTAGCTGGGGGGGGGGGGGGGGGTGGTGTTGTCACAGTGATGGCCCCTCAAGGAGGTTAAATTTCAGGACTCCAAGGACTTCAGGCCTGCAGGCTGCCACTTTGGGCTTGCAGAGTTCAGACCTCTACATCTTAAGTCTTAATTTCTCCAAACCCTAGAGAAGGGCAGAAGTGTGTGTGCTTGCTATAGGTATGGGGGGAGGGCGCTCTGAGGTGAAGGGAGGGTAATACCCTATAATCACAGAACCTAGAAGGCTGCATTTCAGATCTCAGAAGGAAGGGAAGGAGAATGTTAAGAGAGGGAGTGAAAAACATTTACAGGTCAGGACATTTGCAGGGGACACCAGAAGGTGCCAGGAGGCAGTACCTCTTTCCTGTGAATTCCCTGGATCATAGACCTTAGCTTCTCAGGGAAGAAGGGGAGAACCTTAATCTAACTGGGGCAAGGATTCTGGAGCCTGACCTAGGAGAGACACCTGAGAGAAGGTACATCCCTGGGGTCGGGATGCTTCCAACTCAATCCCAAGAGGATTAAAAGGAGTCCCAAGCTAAAAGACGGGATGGCATCTATGGGATGTGGAATCTGGACCCCAAACTGGAGTACAGGAAGAGGCACCAGGAGCTATCCTGGAGAGAGGCCTACCCTGGAACCAGCTGGGACCTCCAAGGACCAACACAAGGGACCAGCAGAGAGGGAGGGGAGCTCAGAAGCTAGAAGTGGGTGCATAAAGGGCTCTGAAGATGGGGCTCTGGAGACTGTGTGGAGAGGGTGTCTGACCTGAGAAGTAGATTACTAGGAAGTAGAACATAGGAAAGCATCCAAGATTTGGAAATAGGATCTGATACTGCAAGTGTGGGATTTGGAGACCCCAGGGGCAGAGACCAAAGCCTCACAGATGCTGTCCAGAGGAGAAAGAGGGAGGAAGAAGGCAGAGCCCAGTACCCAAGACGGAGAGATGCGAGTTAGGAAGGCTCTGGACCAAGTACTAGGGATCAGAACTCCATCCCAGTGGGCAGGACAAGCTCAATTAGCAACGCGTCCACTCGGGGGTTGAGAGGGAGGATATCGAGAGGGGGCGGGGTTCCGGGACCCACTCGAGAGCCCAACAGGAGCCCCAAACTCCAGCCTGGGGTACAGACTCCAAGAGGACACGCAGTGTTTGGGGGCGGTTCAGAACCCTGGGCCATCACCCCGGATGGTGCGAGCGGTGATAGAGGGGTCAGGGGACCCTTCAGAGCAGGCAGTCTCCAACCTCAGCCTGGCCTGTTGGGCGGGGAAGCTGAGACCCAGATGCTAGCCCTCAGGGACCGGGAGGGGAAGACACTCCCCCCAGGCCAAAGAGCACGGGCCTTGGCACGGGGCGAGGTGCAGACAAGCAGCCCAGCCCCTCATGCTGTCTGAGGGTTGTGCCTTAAGCTGGATGGCGCGGTCCTGCGCCCCACTTTAGAGAGACCCAGACGCCAACCGCTCAGGCTAGAGTGGGAAGAACCCCGCTTCAAGCCCGGTGCCGATCCCCCGCGCAAAGGCTAGGGTGAGGTTTGGGGGCCCAGGACCCCGCCCCCCGCCTCCGGCCTCCCCGCCCGCACCCCGAGCCCCGGGGCCGGGGGCGAACGAGGGGGCTGGGCGTCGAGCCGCGAGCGGGCTGCGCCGTAGGACCCCGGGCAGAAGACGCAGACCTCCGACTGCCGCCTGGCTCCCGCCCCCTCGGCCGCCCGCCCGAGCTGGCGCCGCCGCCGCTCACTCACTTTGGCCTCCACCAGCTCCGCCGCCATCTTGGCCACCAGCGTCCCCCGCGCCGGGAGCCCCCAGCGTCGCGTCACGTGACCTCCCGCCACTCGCGGGCGGGGCCGCTGCCGCGACCAATTAGCACCCGCACGCTCTTCTTTTTCAACCCCCGCCTCGACGGCGCGCGCCCGTGAGCACTGCGCAGGCGTCGAGCCGCCGCCCGGGCCTCGGGCCAATCTGGGCTGCCTGACTTCGCACCCTTTTGCTCGCGGCCACCACGCCCACCCCCTCCCTGTGTCTGGCTTCTTAAAGAGATATAAGCCCAGCAATGGTGGGGCTGGGTGCTGGGTCTTGTCTGGGGAAGAAAGGAGAGAGCCGGGAGGCGATCACAATGTAAACCAAGTGCCGTGGCCCTTTAGGTGAGGCGGTCGCGAAGTACGTTCCCGGACTCCCGGCGGACGGCGTCGGGGGAGGAGACGGTGGTTACCGCAGCGCAGCGGCCGCCGATGAGTGCAGTGCGGCGCCTTGCAGCGAGGCGCGGTGCTGCCTTGGCGGGCCTTGAGCCCCGCGCGCTGCACATCCGGGTCCTGACGCGGCAAAGAGGGAGCGGGCTCTGCACTCACTGGCTGGCCCTGGGTGGAGAAATGCGGGACCTACTCCCCAAATCCCCGGAGCTCCTTTATCCATTACGCCTGCGGGCGGCGCTCCCCGCCGTAGCTTCGCCTCCCTACCCACAGTAGCCCTTTGGAATCTGTGGTAACGGGAACCTGGCCCTACTCAAGAGCTCTCTGTGGCTCCCCACTGCCCACAGGCAATGGAGCTAAAACTTTCCACCTGTTCCAGGCGATTAGTTTTTCTTTTTTAAACAAAAAAAAAACAGAAGCAGAGGATATTTAAAGGAGCCAGTGTGGGAAATGGCTGGGTCGATTGCCTTTCGGAAAAAGGATGTCAACCTTTAACCCAATTCTGCTTTCCAAGGAAATAAAAATGACCGCGATAATACGTAATACTAGCTAATACTAATGTCAAGCCCCGTTTTAGGTACTTAACATGTTATTTCACCTTCATGCCAGCTAACCCCAAGAAATAGGTACTGTGTGGCTGGTGGGGCTCAGTGGTTGAGCGTGGATCCCATGCACCAGGAGGTCAGGAGGTCACTGGTTGGTTCCCTGTCAGGGCATATGCCCAGGTTGTGGGCTAGATCCCCAGTGGGGAGCATGCAGGAGGTGGCCAATCAATGTTCTCTCTCATCAATGTTTCTCTCTTTCACCTTTCCTCTCTTTCTCTAAAATCAGCAAAGAAAAACAAAATTTTTTTAAAGAAAATAAATAGGTACTATTATTGGTTTCAATTTACCTATGAGAAAACTGAGATCTTGAGTGGTTTAGTGACTTAAGTGGTTAAGTTCACCTAGAACAGATGCATAAAAAGATATGCACTTTAATATGCAAACCCAGGGAACAAATGAAGTTGCAGTTCAGGTCTGAAGGCCATCTGCTCAGAGAATTCCTTCTTGCTCTTGGAGGTCTGTCTTTGTGTTCTGTTGAGGCCTTGAACTGATTAGATGAGCCCACTCACATTAGGGAGGGCAATCTATTTTACTTAATAGTCCACTAATTTAAATATCAATATTATCCAAAAACACCTTCATAGACACATTCAGTATAATTTTTTAAAATCCTCACCCAAGGATATATTTTTATTGATTTTACAGAGAGAGGAGAGAAGAAGAGGGAGAGAGAGAAACATTAATGTGAGAGAGTAACATTGATCGGTTGCTCCTGTATACACCCTGTTTGGGATCAAACCTGCAACCTAGGTATGTGCCTTGACCTGGAATCGAACCAAACCTGCAACCTTTTGATGTACAGGATAATGCTCTAACCAACTGAGCCACCTGGCCAGGGCCAGCATAATGTTTGATCAACTATCTGGGCACCACAGGCTAACCAGGTAAACACATAAAATTAACCAGCACGTGGGTTATGTTAGGATCTGTGTGACCCAGGCAAGTGATGATGGGGTCCTGGACCAGAGTGAGGGGCAGAGGGCAGAGGGGATGGAGAGAAATGGATGGAGTCGAGAGGGTTGTTTTAAGTGTACAATCAGGTAAAGAGTTTTGATATTATCACATTCTAATTTTAAACATTTCTATCACCCCAAAAGGAAATGCCATCCCCCTTAGCAGTAACTCCCTAACCCCCTCCCCAGCCCCTGGCAACCACAAATATACTCTGTCTTTGTGGATTTGCTTGTTCTGCACATTTCATATAAATGGAATCCTGCAATATATGTCCTACCTCCTGCAATCCTAACATGACTGAGAAATCTACCCCTGAAGCTCCCGGCCTCCCTCTCAACAACCTTCTTGTTTGCACGTGGGATCTCCATGCCTCACACACACCATGCCCACACTGAGGTTGAACTTTCTATCTTCCCCATGGAATCTGCTCCTTTCGCTTTCTCAACAGATGGAAGCTCAGTCCTTCAACTTCATTGGGCCAAAATCTTGAAGTCAGCTTGGACTCCTCTCATTCAACACGTCAGCCAAAACTGTCTGCTCCATCGTCCAAATCTACTGTATTTAGCACACACACCCCACCCCCACCAGCTCCATGGGGGCCTCTGGGTCCAGCTCCCATCATCTCCTGAGGAGACCTGCACAGTCCCCTCTGCCCTTACCCCCACAGACAGTCCTCCTACAAACAACCACCGGAGGGCGCTTGTGAGCCCACAAGTTGGGTTCCACCTCTCCTCTAACCATAACCCTACTTGGCTCCCACCTCCCTGGGGTAAAAGCCCAAGTCTTCCGAGGCCCACTGGTCCTACAACACATGCCTCCGTCCCCTCTCTGCCCTCACCTACTCTCCCCATCCTGGATCTGTTGTAGCCACAAGGGCTTCCTTCCTGTTCCTCTAACACACCAGGCATGGTCTTACCTCTATCAGGATAGAGATGCTTGCCCCGTTTCTCCAGCTCCTCAGTCAATGTCTGGAAGCAGACAGGAGGGGCTCACTAAACATGTGTTGAATGAATGAATACCATCCACACTAAAAATTTAGAGCACATTATTATTTTTTAAAAATACGTTTTTATTGTTTTTTTTTAGAGAGAGAGGGAGAGAGAGACAGAACATCGATGAGAGAAACATCAGCTGGTCACCTCCCACACGCTCCCCATTGGGAATCAAGCCCCGCAACCTGGGCATGTGCCCTGACCAGGAATCGAACCAGGACCTCCCAGTCCATGGGACAATGCTCAATCCACTGAGTCACACTGGCCAAGCTAGAGCACATTATATAAAAAATAATAATCACATATGGGGTTTTTCTTAACCTTGGCACAATGGACACTTAGGGAAGGATCATTCTCAGTGGAGGGGGGCAGGCACTATAGGGTGTTGAACATCATCCCTGGTCTCTACCCACTCCATGCTAGGAGTACCCCCATTGTGACAACAGATTTCCCCAGATACCACCCAGTGTCTCCTGGGGGCAGAATCACTCCCAGTTGCAATCCACTGATGAAGGCCAAGGTGTATAAGGAGTTCTTTTTTTTTTATCCTCACTTGAGGACATTTTTCCATTTTTTGTTCAGGTAGGGTGGGGGGGAGAGAGAGGAACAGAGAGAGAGAGAGAAACATCGATGTGAAAGGGACACATCGAGTGGCTGCCACCCGCACAACCGACCAGGGCCGGGGACAAACTGCAACCGAGGTACGCGCCCTTAGCGGGAACCGAACCCGGGTCTCTCGGGACCGCGGGCCGACGCTCTAACCGCTGAGCCAAACTGGCCAGGGCTGTATAAGGAGTTCTTATTGAGGTCTTCATTCATATGCTCCCTTATGCACAGGGGAAAGTATTATTCAATGTTTTTGTTAAAAAGTAAAATTCGCGCCCTGGCCGGTTTGGCTCAGCGGTTGGAGCGTCGGCCTGCGGTCTGGAGAGACCCGGGTTCGGTTCCCGCTAAGGGCATGTACCTCGGTTGCAGTTTGTCCCCGGCCCTGGTTGGTCGTGCGGGTGGCAGCCACTCGATGTGTCCCTTCACATCGATGTTTCTCTCTCTCTCTCTGTTCCTCTCTCTCCCTCCCGCTCTATCTGAACAAAAACTGGAACAACCTCCTCGGGTGAGGATGAAAAAAAAAAAAAAAAGTAAAATTCGCGCCCTGGCCGGTTTGGCTCAGTGGTTAGAGCGTCGGCCCGCGGTCCCGAGAGACCCGGGTTCGGTTCCCGCTAAGGGCGCGTACCTCGGTTGCAGTTTGTCCCCGGCCCTGGTCGGTTGTGCGGGTGGCAGCCACTGGATGTGTCCCTTTCGCATCGATGTTTCTCTCTCTCTCTCTCTGTTCCTCTCTCTCCCTCCCACTCTACCTGAACAAAAAAGTGGAAAAATGTCCTCGGGTGAGGATAAAAAAAAAAAAAAAAAGTAAAATTCGCCCTGGCCAGTTTGGCTCAGTGGTTAAGCGTCGACCTGCGGACGAGAGAGTCCCGGGTTCGGTTTCCGCTAGGTGCACGTAACACACACACACACACACACACACACACACACGAAAGTAAAATTCAAGCCCAGCTGATGAAACTTAGTGGATTGAGCGTCATCCCATAGTCTGACAGGTTCCGGTTTGATTCCAAATCAGGGCACATGCCTGGGTTGCAGGCTCGATCCCCAGTAGGGGGTATGCAGGAGATAGCCAATTGATGTTTCTCACATCGATGTTTCTATCTCTCTCTCCCTCTTCCTTCCTCTCTCTCTCAAATTAATAAAGAAAAAAAAATTTAAAGTAAAATTTTACAGTGAACTGGAAGCTTTAATTGGCTTAAGTGATTCATGAATGAGCTAGCATCTCATTTAGCAAGTAGAAGGGTGCTCCAAGGGTTATGTACAAAATGGAAGGTTTTATAGGAAGAAGGATGGAGCAAGGGATATTGAAAAAGAAAAGGAGGGATTATTTTGGGGCCAGGACATCTTTGGGGAAGAGACGTGGAAGCATTTTTACCATGCAGATGACCTTTTTTGTTGTTGTTCAGATAGAGTGGAAGGGGGAGAGAGAGAGAAACATC